TAATTATGAAGGCCTCTGTAGTCGCTCTTTCCTCAGCTACTCAGGCAAGCCTGGGGCATGGTTTTCACAGCAGCTTCAAAGCTCCACAAGCGGGCGGCCCACCAGGCAATCGTGTCTTCGTGGGTTTAGGGTTTAGGGTTCGTGTTACTTTATAACCTACCAAAACCTACTTTTTTGTAGGGTCCCTAGAATATCCATGTCAGGATTTATATGAAGAACCTACAAAAAAGGTAGGGTTTGGTAGGTTAAGGTAGATAGTAACAATACTCGGTTACCCTTTTGCCCCCTTTTTTCAGGGTCCCCGCATCACCAAATAATTCGAAGAAGGGTACCCTGTCATGAAGGGGCCACCCAGGAACGCAGAATAATAGAAGGCTTCCAACAGACAATGGGGATTGAAGGCCATCTCATATCGTTTTATATTACGGATATCACACGTATTTAAAGGAACATTGTTTACCAAGGACTATATATTCGTAAGTATTGAGCTTACGGGTAAGAGGGGTTTGGGAGCTTGCATTCGAGGTACACGGTGTGGTGCGCTTCAAGGGTTTCAGGCTGTCTCATTGACACCGCAAGCCCTAAACCCTATATCCCGAAACCCCTAAACCCTAAACCCCTAGACACCCAACAAGCCCTAAACCCCGAAACTCCTATAACCTTAATCGAGACGTTCAGCTTCAATGTCACCAGGCTGGTTCTTCGGCGGGAGGCGGAGTATTTAAGCAGCCCGCGCCTAGCAGACTGCGAATTTTCATGTCCGCAATCTCCCAAAAAATAGTCGAAACCCTAAACCCTAAACCCGAAACCTCCAAGTTTAAACCCTAGAGCCCAATACGGGTTGAGAGAGCCTAGTGATAGCGTGACCTCAAAAAGGGCCCAAAAGATCTTAGGGTTCAAGAGGTCATTAACCCTGCAAACCTTCAATCTTGAACCCGTCCCGAGTCCCGCTACTAGATGGAAGCTTCACAAGCTCCCGGGGTCAGCGGGGAACCCCGATAAAGGTACCCCCCTTCTTCACAACCCTGTAGTGAACCCCACAAAGTCGGAACATGGGTTCAGGAGATCCTATACTTTACCTCAAGGGCATGAAGATATTGATGTTCCAACTTTTTGGATTCTACTACAAACTCTAAACCTCCAACCCCGAACCGTAAACCTTGAGCCCCAGATTGTGCTACGGAGCGTGTGAAAAAACAGCTGACGGCAGTCGACGTCTGAGCCTGCCTGGTCAACGCAAGAGTTTGGAATCCAAGCATAGTGAAAACACTCCAAGACCACCCCGTCACGATTCAAGGGCGGTCGTGGTTGTCGTGCATCATCGCAGAGTCAGAGATTTAAAAACTATCATACCCGACACTGCATAATGGCTTGCTTTCGCCGGCGATCGACAACCTCCCAGAAACTACTGCTTTTTTGTCAGCTGACATACGGAACCACCGCCTCAAAACCTAAAGCCACCTAAAGCTCGAAGATGCATGACTCGAAGCTTCGAAGCCACTGGCAGGCCCTCATCCCGAAGCCCAAGCCCGAAACCCTTAAACCCTAAACCCGAACCCCAGCCTGAAACCTGTTAAGCCCGAAACCACGCCAGACCGCTGTTTAGGGTTTAGGGTGCTATAAGGGTACTCAATACATGGCACCATAAGGGTACCAACCACAAGGATATTAGAAGGTGCACCGAAGCCACTATCTGTCACGTACTAACTGTAGGTTTTCAGGCTACACTGCTACACCTTAAACCCTAAACCCAAAACCCCTCCACCCTAAACCCCTCAACCCTAAACCCCTCAACACGTCCTAAACCCCTAAACCCGAAATCCTAAGTTTCAGGCAATGGCCCGCGTCGTGGAGAGCCCAGCTCGCCCCAGACCTCTCGATGCCAAGGCCAAAATGGATGGTTTTCTAAATTAGGGTCCCTTTTTGGGTCCTTATTATAATACGGCACCTCATATTTAGGGTACCCAAAAAGGGACCCTAATTTTGAGAACCACCCAAATGAGTTGCAAAAATGGCTGTAGTAGGCTTTTAGTGCTGTTAGGAATTCTGCTTGTAGGGTTTTGGGCTTAAGGGTTTAGGCTTCAGTGCTCGTAGCAGATATGTTTGTAGGGTTTACGGCTAAAGGATTCAGGGTTTAGATTTTAGTGCTCTTAGGAGCTATGCTTTTGGTGTTTAGGGCTCAAGGGTTTTGGCTTTAGTGCTATTAGGAGTTATTGTTTATTGATGACGCCCCATGGATTATGAACAAGTCATGTTATTGTGGTTCTAAGGGTACTAAAGTAAAAGCGGTTCAAATCTTTTGGGTTTTGGGGCCTCCGGGCTTTTGGGTTTCATGGTTGTGAGTTTAGGGCTTTAGGGCTTTAGGGCTAAGATTCGGCGGGGCTTACGCCGTAAAGGCGCTGGGGAAGTCATAAGTTTCATGTCTTGAGATGCGCTGGCTTGGCCGAAGGCAGCTTTAAGCTGATCTGATGATGATATAAGCCTGCATTACCTTAATGACCCTAGGCTATACCTTAACCCTGAAGAACCTACCTTTTTAGGGTCCCCTATTATGATTTCCTTATATAAGTCCTTAAAAAGGGTTCTTCAGAGTTAAGGTAGGAATTATAGATTACTATGGGGATTGATCATCCGGCGGAACCCTTACCTGGAACCTAAGCGATTCGGCTGGCCATGAACCGCCTGACCAGGGTTTCGGGGTTTAGGGCTTCGGGTTGAGCCTGGTTAATGGACAGTATTGCTGAGGCAGGACACTGCTAGCTCACCTACATCCGAAACCCTAAACCCTAACACATTTGGGTCTGCAGTGTCTCGTGCGTTTACACTGGTTCGTGCGATGTTGCAATCCGCTCTTCTGGTCCAAAGCCTATAAACCCTTACACCCTAAACCCCTAAACCCTTAAACCCCAAACCCAAAAACCCTAGTAGAGGGGCCAAAATAATTACCAAAACGACTATGGGGGTTCCGCAATATGGTCATAACCTACGGTGCCTGGCCTCATCTAGCGAAGATTTTTCTGCAGCCAGGCTTTTGCGGCTGCAATTGCTGAGTTCGAGCGCTTGGGTGACAATGTGGGGTTGCCAAGAGTGAAGGTTTACTTAAAGAGTCATGGGACTTCGGACTTAGGAACTGAGGTTGTTATTCGGATAACTCTGTATTTATATTACTTCTAAGCCTGCTAAGGTACCTATACCCATACTAAGTCCCGTGATCCTCCAAGTAGACCCTAAACCCTAAACCCTTAACCCCTGTAGATCCCTTAAAGGCGCCCCATGATCCTCCTGGTAGCGTTTAGGGCGTACGGCGTAGGGTATGGGTGCAGGCTGTATTATTGCCCTCGGGTCGAGGTTCGAGATGAGGAATAGGGGTTTAAAGGGTTTAAGGGTTTAGGGGTTTAGGGGTCTTGGGTTCAGGGGTTTTGGGTTTAGGGGTCGAGGGTTTAGGCCTCCGTCAAACGCTGAGTTTGGTTTGATTCCGGTTGAGATTTTAGGGCCAAGGTTAGGGCATAAGCCTAAGCCGGGTAACCCCAACAGCATCCTGCACCCTCAAACCCTAAACCCCTAAACCATTGAACACTAATGGAGCAAAACATTTAATCAGGATCAAAAATCTGAGCCCCCAGGGATCAAATAAAAATGATGACAAGATCAAGAAGACATTGTGTCTCACCTTTACTTGTGTTATTCATACCAACAACAACAGCAGCAACAACAACACCAATAGCACCAATAACATCAACAACACCAACAACAACACCACCAGCAATAATAGCAATAACACCAATAACAAGACCAGCCCGCAACCGCAACGACAACCGACAACCAACAACAACAACAACAACAACAACAACAACAACAACAACAACAACAACAACAACAACAACAACAACAACAACAACAACAACAACAAAAAAAAAAACAAAAAAAACAACAACAACAACAACAACAACACCAACAACAGCAGCAGCAACAACAACAACAACAACAAGAAGAACAACAACAACAACTGTTAAGATATAAGACTTCTGTGCACCTCCCCGGTACAGTAACTTCCTTCCAGCTTACTTCGACCACCACACTTCGTGTGGCTCAAGGCTGGCTGTGACAAAGAGGACTTCAGAGTGCTGTGCTGACTTCAGGGTTGAGCTCTGTTTGTGCATACTTCAGACGCTTTGTACTTTTTCATGGTAGCGGAGCTTCGTGCTCCTAGGCCTTTGTAGGAAACTTCGTAGATGTCAGCAGCTGAGCTAGAAGGAGAGTTCGCAGGCAAACTTCGGTTGCCACTTCCGCCGGTCTTTAGTGGAAATCCTGAGGACTGGGAAGAATGGCAGTGGAACTTCACAATCTATGCTTCATTGTTTGATCCTGCAATTGCTGAACTTCTTGAGAGATCAGGAAATGCGAACGTAGAGGTAATAGATGAACACTTCAGAGGTGACAGGTTCCCGGAAGCCAGAACAGCCGAGCTCATTCGCTTCAGTCGAAAACTTCATGTTCTCCTCGCAAATCTCACTTCGGGTGCCGCGAAACTTGTAGTTCGTCAGAACGTCGGTGGAAACGGCTTCGAAACTTGGAGAAGACTTCAACAGAAATTCAGCATGCCCAACGCGCAGCGCGAGCACGCACTTCTCGCACAAGTTCTTGATTGGAAATTCAACACGCATACGTTCGAGCAAGACTTCACTTCATGGGAGACGGTCAAGGTCAGATACGAGACGCTCACAGGCACTTCGCTGCCCGACGGAGTTCTCATAGCTACGTTGTTGAATAAGACTTCAGGACAACTTCAGCAGCACCTGAGGTTGAACTCGACTTCGATCAGGACCTACGCGCAGATGAGAGAAGTGATTGTATCGTACTTCAGATCAAGGCTTATGCTTCAGGGCACAGCTTCAAGTTCTCAAGGTCCAGCCCCGATGGATGTAGGAGCCCTGAAAGGTTGGGGCAAAGGAAACTTCAAAGGAAAGAAAGGAAAAGGAAAGGGCTTCGGCCCCAAAGGAATGAAAGGAGGTAAGAGTGGTTTCGGCCACTGGAACTTCATGAAAGGAAAAGGGAAATCAGGAAAAGGAATGAAAGGAAACTTCAAAGGATCAGGAAAAGGAAAAGGAGGAAAGGAAGGATATGGAAAGAAAGGAACTTCGGGTTCAGGAAAGACGGGAGCAATCACATGTTGGACGTGCGGCCAAATTGGCCACACTTCGAGAGAGTGTCCGCACCAGTATCGTGTTTCCGCGGTAGATGAGACTTCAGGTGATTGGAATGCAGATTGGACAGGAGAGTATGACGCAGGGCATGACTTCGGTGATGCCTGGGATGCCTCATGGGATGATGCTTCGTGGATCGGTGCAATTGATGACTTCACATGGCAGGTTGATGCATGGGATGATGGATCGTGGTGGACTTCTGCTTGGAATGAGGATCCTTGGGCTTACGACCCGACTTCCTTCTCTCAAGCCTCCCAACCAGCCACCTCAAGCGAAACTTCAAACCAAGCGCCGGTACCACCAGCAGCTACGCAGACTTCAGCAACTTCGGCTGACAAGGTTTCGGCTGTTACCTTCGGTGAGCCTCCAGGCCTTTCACTTCCCGACAAAACTTCGAAAGCCAAAGCCTCACCCAAGCCGAAAGCCTCAACAGCCTCAGGACTTCTGCTTGCTGCGGTTACGCTAGGTAGTGTAACTTCAGGGTCTTCGTTCAGCATCGCCCCGACGATGCCAATGCCGAACTTCGAAGACGAAGGACCCGGTCAGGAGTCCACACTTCTCAGTACGCTTTTCACTTCGGGTTTGAGTCACCTCAACACTTCTTTCAAGGATGTGTTCTTTGAGGAACATGTCGCTTCTGTAACTTCTTTGAGCCCGCAGTGGATTTTGTTTGACAGCGGTGCAGCAGCTCATTGCTGCCCCAAGAACTTCGCCCGAGAGTGGCCGTTGCTTCCACTCCAAGACAGAGCGCCTCCACTTCGCAGTGTAACAGGGCAGCTCCTCAACATCTACGGTAGACGACTTGTAGGAATGAAGATAGGTGATGTTGAGTTTCACATGCACTTCTATGTCACAGACATTGGCTATCCTATCGTTTCGGTAGGAAGACTTCTAGCCCAGAACTACACCGCAACTTTAGGAAAGGATGAGCTGACACTTCACGCTCCAGATGGCAAGCACCTTCCTGTTGAGCGTGAGGGTTCACTTCTTTTCTTGAAGCCGGAAATACTTCCTTTTGTCAAGCACGACTTCGAGTTGGTGTGTGTTGCGTTCCACGAAAACTTCGCAACGGAGGCTGAGAGCACGGTGTCAGCGTTCAAGCCTGTGTACTACCACGCTGATCGTTGGCACTTCGATCCCGCAAGAAACGTTCTTGTGCGGTATCACAAGCGCCCTCGCAAAAATCTGTTTGTGCCAAGCGGCACTTCAGATAGACCAGTGGCGCTGAACAAGCTTGCTCAAGAGCGGAAAACCTTCGTGGTTGATGCTCAAGGAAATGAGAAGGAGCTCACGGACAACTGGGTCACTTCAGATGAGCCCACGCGAGCGCTGGATCACTTCTGGAAAGGAAGAACGGAGTTTAAACTTACAACTCCTCCGAACCAGCGCCCGCCGACGAGACTTCTTCAGAAGAGGTCACTTCTCACTCCGCCGGCCCACGAGGATCCGAAAGCTTCTCCTCCAGTTGAGCATGCGCGCACTTCTCGCGCCCCTGTTGCGACAGAGTCTTTCAGACCAGAAACTTCGCTGTATCCGAAGAGGTCTGATCTTCAGAAGAGCCTTCGTGAAGCTTCGGATGGAAATGAGGCAAGTGTGAGACGCTTTGTGGCATCTCAACTTCAAGAGCCAGATCCAAGCACAGGCCTTCCGTATGAACATGACTTCTGGTTGGACACACCGTTGATGTGGATTCGCTTCCACTTCGTTCCGCGTAGCACGTTGTTTGTTCCCAACGAGGAGGAACTTCAAGGTGGCCCTGATGTCACCCAGCTTGGTCGTGAGCGCATGACTTGCTTGTGCACTTCGGAAGGTGACCAGTGGCGCGAAGATAATTGGGACTTCGAAAGCGAAGCCTCCAAGAGAGAGGTTGGCTTCACTTTCACAGGAGCTACGTGTTTCGCCAAGCCGGAGGAAGAGGTCGTTGAGCCACTTCCCGTTCCGGTTGCTGGTGAGGACACCGACGCCAGAGTGCCCAAGACACTTCGCGCACCAAAGGCACCAACTGAACAAGAAAGGGAAGAACACAACCTCACACATCTTCCCTTCAGAAGCTGGTGCAAGATCTGTGTTCAAGCCAAAAGCCGGCAGGACCACTCGAAGAAACTTCGCATGAGGCAACCCGTGCTTCAATGCGACTACTCCTTCATGCCGGACAAGGGAGAGAACCAAGCTACACTTCTCAACGTGCGAGATGTGATCACAGGCATGTCTCTCTCGGTGGTTGTGCCGAATAAAGGTAACTCCGTCTATGCAGAAGCGGAACTTCGTCGCTTCGTGCAGGACGTTGGCCGGACATTCGGCATACTTCAGTGCGACCCAGAGCCTTCTCTCAAGGCTGTAGCGGAGACGGTCACTTCAGAAATAGGTGGCTTGTCGTTGAGAAACAGCCCTACTGAGTGGAAGCAGGCTCAAGGTGCAGTTGGACAGGCGCAGGCACTTCTCTACTCACAGGTACGAGCACTTCGACTCGACCTGGCAGAGAGGTACGACTGCCAGATCCCTGTCACTTCGCCAGTGTTCCCGTGGCTTGTGAAGCACGCACAGTTCTTGTTGAACAACTTCTCTGTTCGTTCTGATGGGCAAACGCCCTACGAACGTCGCTGGGACCGCAAGTACACTTCTGCGGTCTGTCGCTTTGGAGAAGTGGTCTTGTTTCGACTTCCTGGTCGTGTGCCTAAAGCTGAGCCTGCTTGGGAGCGTGCGTTGTGGCTTGGTCGTGAAACCACTTCGGACATGCATGTTGTCGGCAATGCAAACGGCGTGTACAAGACACGAAGCGTCAGGAGACTTCCTGCGGAGGATCAAGTGAGCAAGGAGCTTCTTGACTCGTTGAAAGCGACTCCTTGGGACCCGCGTGGTCGCCAAGAGGAGAGTGCTCACTTCGTTCTTCCAGCCCAGTCTGAAGCTTCGCCTGCCGCAGCGCCTGCAGTCTCAGACCTGCAGGGAGCGCAGGACGCGGCCGGCTCCAGTGCCGACGGCACTTCTGGAAGCAAGCGCAGCGCAGAGGCACCTCCAGAGGATGCGCCTTCGCAACTTCGGGCCAGGCTGGAACAGTCGCAGGGAGAGAAGCGCGAGATCTCCGCGGAGGTCCCGGCCAGTGCGACCAAACTTCAGCGAATCTCTGCGGTGCTTGAGGGTCGCCTGGTTGACACTTCTTGCGTTGCTTCTGTGACCACGCGTGACGGTCTTGAAGTTCCTGTCGAGGTTAACGTTGACCGTGCTGAAGAACTTCAGGCCTTGCGTGCAAGTGAGCCTGTTGTCTGGTACGACACGGAGTTTGACAAGGAGCAAGAACTTCAAGGCATGCAGAAAGAGCGTGAATCTCTTCAGCACTTCGATGTGTTCGAAGAAAAGCTTGTGAGCGAGTGTTCCGAGGAGCAACTTCGAGACGCAATCTCCACGAAATGGGTTAAGCGCCCTAAGGGAGATGGTGTGCGTTGCAGGCTGTGTGTCAGAGGCTTCGACCAAGTCGTCGAGGACCCAGACGACACTTTCGCCAGCACACCTTCGCTTGCTACGCTCAAACTTCTTCTTACACTTGCGTGCACTTTCAACTGGTTCGTTCTTGCTGGCGATGTGTCCACAGCGTTTCTCCACGCACTTCTGAGTGAAGAGATCTTTGTGATCCCTCCGGGTGAATTCTACCCCAACGGTGGAGTGCTATGGAAACTTCGCAGAGCCATGTACGGACTGAAACAGAGTCCGAAGGCATGGCAGACCCACTTCGCGAGCGTGATGGCCGATCTCGGCTTCAAGCGTCTTAAAAGCGATCCTAATCTCTACTTCCATCCTGAGTACAAGGTGTACCTTCTTTGCTACGTAGATGATGTACTTCTCTTCGGTGCAAAGGAGCCGTGTGAGCACCTGTTTGCCAAACTTCAGGAACGTCTTCTTTTGAGACGGGAAGGGACGCTTCAGCCGGGGGAGAGTATCAACTTCTTAGGTAGATGCATCACACGACGCGAAGATGCGATCGAGATTTCCATGCCTACTTCGTATGTTGACAAGATTCTAGAAGAATATGCTCTTTTGGAGTGTAGGCATAGCCCTCCCGGCAACGACTCACTTCGTAAGAAAATCGAATCCGAAGAGCCTTTGGATACAGTCGAGCACCGTAAGTACAGACGAGTGGTAGGCCAACTTCTCTGGCTTAGCAGCATTCGCCCTGACATTCAGTACGCTGTCAAGGAACTGTCTCGAGGATTAACTTCCCCGACAGAGGATCACAAGGCCAAGGTCAAGATGCTACTTCGGTACCTTGCAGGGAGCAAGGCTTGCGTCCTGACACTTCGGCCGAGGGTCATGCTTCGTCGGGAAATGACTTCTCTTGATGTGGTAGCGTATGTAGATAGTGATTGGGCAGGTTGTGTCACTACGAGGAAGAGTACTTCGGGTGTGTCTGTGTTCTTCAACGGTTGCTTAATTGCTTCGCAAAGCCGCACACAGCAGACGATAGCGACTTCGTCTGGAGAGGCCGAGCTTTACAGCATTGGCCTGGGCACTTCGGAGAGCCTTTTCGTAAAATCACTTCTCATCGAAATGAACATCACTTCGCGCGTGAACATACGCGTTTTCACAGATTCTTCGGCCGGAAAAAGCATGTCGACGCGCTTCGGTGTTTCGAAGAAAACTCGGCATGTCGAACTTCGCTATCTTTTCATGCAAGAGTTGGTCCAACAAAACATACTTCAAGTGAAGAAAGTTGCCGGTACTTCGAACCCCGCTGATGTGTTGACCAAGTATGTTTCACGTGAGGTACTTCAGAGGCATCTAGGAACCTTAGGTGTAGGCTACCCTTTTGGTAGGCTGCTCTAACTTCTAGGATGCTGTGCAGAAAGATGTTTCACTTCAATTCGTTTGCTTTAAAGGCAGAGCTCCCCTTTCAACTTCAGGGTCAGTGAGGTCCTCTGTGTTTCAGATCTTCGCCCCAGAGCCGCCTTTGCAAGGACTTCATGGCCGCCGCCGCTCCTTTGGGCTGCGACTTCGTGCCTCACTTCGTTGCCGCCATGGCTTCTGCTTGGGTTTCTTACTTCTGGCTGGGTTCTTGGCAACTTCGCTTTGGTATTCGTTTCTGCATGGATGGTTTGCGAACTTCACACCGGATTGTGCCCACTTCGGTTGGGACATGGAATTTTTCACTTCATACCGGATTGTGCCCACTTCTGTTGGGACGTGGTTTTGGTACAGACTTCTTTGCGATCGACGTCTTCAGTGGTTTGTGTGCTTCTACTTCGGGAAGATGGCGCCCAAACTTCAGGTTCCGGTGCCAAAGGCAGTGGCCCTCGGACTTCCTCCGGCAGCTTTGCCAGGACCTTCGACTTCGGAGGAGGCCGAGATGACGCGGGACTTCCGCAACTTCGTGGAGGAGCATCAGTTCTATATTCCAGACCCGAACTTCGCAAGAGATGAGCTTCCTCCGCGACTTCCCACGCGAGCACTTCCTCAGAACACTTGGCTGGAACTTCGCTATGCGTCGGGCAACTTCGAGACGATCTGCGGACTTCACCCGGCGCACTTCCAGCAACTTCACAGGGCCGTGGATGTACTTCGGGTACACTTCTACGGCAGGGAGGCGGCCCGACTTCTCGGGCATGGCCGGGATCACCTCGGCTGGAGCCACTTCGCTGGGATGAGCTACTTCGCCGTGGACAATGTGTGCTTCACGCACTTCAAGCATGTCCCTGACTTCCTGGAGTCACTTCGCCAGGGCCGGCAGATCTGCAAACTTCTGCTGCCTGGGACTTCGGACTTCAGGATGGTCTACGCGCTACTTCGACTTCAACCTGGAGTGGACAACCCGGTGGTGACGGCACTTCAGTCTGCGGCGCTGTTCCCGGAGCTCTTCGCCCGGAGCACTTCGTATGTAGCCAACGAGACGGACTTCTGCATCAACTTCAAGGCAAGCTATATCGGCCCGAACTTCGTTGATGTACTTCCCGAGCCTTCGATCCGGTTGTGGTTTTGCACTTCCTTGAACTTCATCCTCACGCGCATGTCACGAGATGGAGATGGCGAACTTCACCTGACTTCGGATATGCAGCCATTCTCCCCGGATATGTTGAACTTCGCATTTTCTCCGAGGTCAGCGGTGTGGCTTGCGTGCTTCGGACTTCAACTTCTGTTGGAGACTTCCCCGACCGAAGCCAACCGAGTGCTTCAAGGAGGCATCGGACTTCTGTCCTTCAGGATGACCTCGAGCGAGATCTTGAACTTCGTGGAAGGTAACCGCTTCCGCTTCTGGAATCGGCGGTACATCGACTACTTCATCAACGTGCCCGGCGAGCACTTCGTGTTGCGACCTCACCTCCGCACTTCCTTGGCGGTGATTCGTCTTCCGGGCAACTTCCAACAGTTCTTTGACTTCGCCTGGTCGAAAACTTCGCATGGCTTCAACCGCTACATGCACATCCCGATGAGGACTTCGGACTTCGCCCGGTTCGAGAACACTTCTGAGGCGGATTCGTGGGTGAGTCGTGAGCTTGCCGTGCAACTTCTGAGGGCACGCTACTGAGACTTCGGTCCTAACTTCTTTTGGTGACTTCGAAGGAGTCACTTCGCGCTGTTGTGCAAGCGCCACTTCTGCGATGTTTGGAGGACTTCCAACTTCGCTCGATCCTAGCACTTCGTGCAGCAGCTTCTTTTGGTTGAAACAACTTCGTGAACTTCTTTGTTTCAAGGGAGCGTGTTAAGATATAAGACTTCTGTGCACCTCCCCGGTACAGTAACTTCCTTCCAGCTTACTTCGACCACCACACTTCGTGTGGCTCAAGGCTGGCTGTGACAAAGAGGACTTCAGAGTGCTGTGCTGACTTCAGGGTTGAGCTCTGTTTGTGCATACTTCAGACGCTTTGTACTTTTTCAACAACAACAACAACAACAACAACAACAACAACAACAACAACAACAACAACAACAACAACAACAACAACAACAACAACAACAACAACAACAACAACAACAACAACAACAACAACAACAACAAAAACAACAAAAAAAACAACAACAACAACAACAACAACAACAACAACAACAACAACAACAACAACAACAACAACAACAACAACAACAACAACAACAACAACAACAACAACAACAACAACAACAACAACAACAACAACAACAACAACAACAACCACAACAACAACAATAACAACAAAAAACAACAACAACAACAACAACAACAACAACAACAACAACAACAACAACAACAACAACAACAACAACAACAACAACAACAACAACAACAACAACAACAACAACAACAACAGCAGCAACAACAACAACAACATGTAGAAGAAGAAGAAGAATACGGATATAACTTTTTCTAGTAGCGATAGTAGTAGTATCCATGATAGCAATAACAGTAGCCGCAATACCAATAATGCGCAAAACCAAGCAATAGGAACAATGACCATTGCAATACCAGTCATCATAAGGGTAAGAACAAAGGACTGATGTTGGAATAGGAACTGTAGTAACAGCTTTACTATCGCTCATATTGTTAATAATACCTGAGAGTAACATCGGAAAGAATCACCCGTGCCCGAAGCTGTGGAGTGTAAGTTGATTCTTGATCCGTTTAAAAAGCTGTTCGATCCTGATTGAGTGGTGGTTTGATCGTGTTCACTTTTTTTTCGATCCGCATTCCCTGAAACCCTCAAGCCCTAAACCCTAAACCCCAGGTGGTAGAGACCTGACGGGATTCAGAGCGTCCTAACCCTAACTCGTGGGCTTCGAAATTTATGCAGGGCCCTGAAGAATCAGAATAGGGTTTGGGGGGGTCTACTTTACTATATTTTACTATAGCTCCAAGAAGGAACTTTAAGGAAACCCTAAGGACTACTATTCGCAATTATTACGGCTCTACATCAGTCTCATGGCTGATGGTGTCATATAGAAGCCGAATACTTGCCGGTTTTGTCTGGTCCACTCTTGCTTGAGTCATTATAACCAACACAGCCTCACCCCAAACCCAATAAACATTATTAAGTCTTCTACAGAAGGTTTGACCCCGGGATGATGTTGTAAGTAGAGGCTTCTGCTTGAAGCTACCCAGAGAGCGCATCGCTAGTCTAAGTATGAAGTCCGATCTCCTGTAAGTTGTGTGAAGGAAGTATGGGGGTAGTTCTTTCTCCGGGTAGATCAACCTTGCAGCATCGTGCAGCAGTTACCCTAAGGCTCCAAGGACTCATATATTAAGGCTATTGGGCCCAAAGAAAACTATGTGAGGCTTCTGGGCTACTTTGAGCCTCAGGGTTGCCGCCTGTGTGGACATCCAGCCCTTCCCCAGAAAGCCTTCGAAAGCCCTAAGCACAATAAGCCTTTGCAACCTGCAGCATGTACCTCTAGACACTCGTTCTTTTCTAAGGACAGATTACAGACAAGAAGAGACAGCAGCAACATGCAGACTGTCAGAGAATCTGCCTCGCATCAGATTAACAGCGACAGTCGTATTCAAAGCATTGTGCTGTCGCCGTCCTTCAGCTGTTCAAGCCCGGCAGTTGGCTCGGTGAGAAGCAGCTCCATGAAGTGGACCAAGAAGGCTGTAGGCCGGGAATCCCTAAATCCTGAACCCTAAAACCCTACACCCTGAATTCTAGACCCGAAACCCTAAACCCCTAAACCCCAAAACCCTATATACATCCTAAGTAGGCAGGGGATCTGACCCAGCTCTGGCCGAGATCTTCCCCCCAACGGGTCAGGAGATGAGTAGGGCTTCTACGTAAATCGTGACGGATGGGATTAAGTAATGGACCCCAGAAGTTTGTAGAATAATAGTCTTTTACAGTTGCTGGGCCATTATTTTACGTACTTTTCGGGGTCTAGATTTTCGGCAAGCAAGGGCTGCTGGTTTTTGACAGAGATGTGAAAGCCCATCCCTGACAAGGCACTGGGAAGGCGAATTTTCCGGTACAGTATGACCTCAGCGGGAGAGTGGAGGTCATCGTGAAGGGCTCCAAGACGCAGGTCATTGGAGACTGTGCCTTCTTCCTGTTGCGAACATCTTGGACGAAATTTCTCTGTTGCCCGGGCCTTACAAGGCTATGTTTTGGCCTGAATCCCTAAACCCTACACCATACCCTAAACCTCTACTTTGTCTTCCGTCCCGGCCCGAAAACGGATGATCCTTGTGTTGCAGACCCCAAGAGCACCCATCAAGTTGACGCAGCGCCTTTTCCAAGGTTTAAAGGTTTAGGGCTTTCGGGTCTACTGCTTAGTGCTTGAAGGTGCAGTGTTCAGGGTGTGGGGGGGGCTTGCCCCGCCTCTGACTCATCATGCTTGCCGACAGCCACGAAAAGTCAAGGACTTTCTGATGCCACGGTGTAGGGTTTAGTTTTTAGGGCTTGAAGCGTGTACTCGCTGGTGCCATCCTTCCCTAATGTTGTTATTCAGAATGGTAGTGACGCTAGATACTGTCAATAGCAACACATGACGTATACTAGCAGTAGTCAGATATCGACAATGATGAGCGCTCCTGACTGTGATAAAACCGTATGAAGCCCTAAACCCCTAAACTGTAAACTCTGGACAAAAGAACATGATGATAGCAGCGATACGCCGGGTTCTTGTGAAGGAACATACTTTAAGTTACCATAACAGGGATCTATGGTAAACTTAGATCCCGTAACAAGAACCCAGTAAACCCCATTGTTTACTATAGATCTCCTGTATGGTAACTTAAGTTAAAGAGTTCAGCAATAGCGATTGGCAATCAGAGCTTCTCCTCCCAGGTCTTGTGATGGCGTCCCTTGTCAGCAAGAGACCCAGAGGCTCCAATATCCCTGAAGTAAGTGGACAGCCGTCTTAGCCGCAAGAATCATCACTTTTTGTGGCAAGCAGGGTAAGAAATGTATCATGACCAGTAAGTTCATGGATACTCACAGGAGTAGGTTTGCGGGTGCCGTGTGCAGGGGGTGCAAGCAGCTCACGGAATACAAGCCAGCAGGATGCCTACCGTATTAGGGTTTAGTGTTCCGGGTTTAGGGTAACTGTTGCCTGTTTGCAATACGTTTTTTCTTGATTAGGGGACTTCACCTTCAATGCAACAGAAGGGCAGCAGGCAACAACTACCCTAACCATAAGAGCTTCTCCGAGGCTTGCCGACTTACTTCCGCTGCTGACCGTTTGCTGAAAGGGTAGTTGTAGCAAGCATCATGTCAGCTATGGCTATGATTCATCTTCCCTTTGGTACGATGGCGATCATGAGGCTGATGATGACGGTGATCACGATGATACCGGTGCTAGACGGTGCCAGGTGGGGTTCCTGGTGGTTGAGCCCTAGTAGTCAGCTGCTTTCGACAGAGCTTAGGTACTTGATCTTGATTCTGGGCTTTGCGCTGCTTGGTCAAGATCTCCAAGAGATCTAAAATAGGGGGCCTTAATAAATTGAAGATAGGAGCCTTAATAATTAACTATACTCATTTTGGAGGGGTCCTTACTATAGTTATGGTATAATATACCTTTGCCCCGGCTTGTTCCGCCCACTGGTTTGCTTCACTGCAGCTCAGGGGGATTTACTTGGCCGAAGCAGATGGCATGATCTGTCTCATCAAGGATGAGCCGTGTGACTTCTGGGACGCATTGAACCTCTCCGTCCACAGCATGTCCACCATCGGCTTTGGTTCCATCGTCCCCCAGTCTGCGCTTGCGCACTCGGCCGTTGCCGTGGAATTTTGGATTGCAGATCCTTAGGGGTACTTAGAAATACTTTATAATTTTTGGTTTATTATAACCCCTAAGAAACAGCTAAAATTGCAGTTTTTGCTAGGGTTCTAAGTTTTTGCTAGGGTTCTAAGTTCAGTATAGGTTCCATACACATCAAACAAGCCCTTGACCCTAAACCTTAAATAAACCCTAAACCCTGAGCTAACCATTATAGGTTCTTATGGGTGCCGGAGCCGGCGGGCTGCTCTTTTCCCGGGTCAGCACCGCTAGCAGTCGAGTTGCTTTCTCCGACGTTGCCCTGGTGACCAACATCCGCGGCTGTCCGACAGTCACTGCGCTTTGGAGTAGCATACTTTAATACGTTTGAAATCAAAGCAACCATGATGAAATAGATTTTACACCCTTTTTTTCTCCGGTTACTTAGTTGAAGTAACCAGAGAAAAAAAGGTATAAACTTTTATTTCATAATAAAAGCCCAGGTCACCATGCGGATCGTCAACGAGCGGCCCTTCAGTTCCTTGTTCGACGTGACCTGCCGAGTTAGTGCCCTCGTCAAGGACCCAAAAGCCGGCATGCGGATCCTGGTACCTTGTGACTGGGCTCTTGGTTAACTAGGATGCCCAGTACTACCCTTATTCCCTTTTTGTAGTTGTGTATACAGTTACCCAACAGCAAGGGAGCCCTTTTTATTCCCAGGTTACTGCGCATCCTAGATAAAGGATTGACTTTAACTTACCACAATAAGGAAAACAAAATATTTACTATAGATCCCTATTATGGTAACTTAAAGCTCCAACCCGAACCCTTAAATTAACCCTCATCGACTCCTTAAAGGAACCCTTCTAGATCCTTGTTTGGGTAACTTAAACCAAATGAAACCCTAATCCTTAAACCCCTTATAGAACCCTACATACCCTAAACCCTTATAGAGCCCTTAAAGGAACTTTGCATTAGGGTACCTTAAATTACAGTAGAAGCCCAAAAGTTGTAAACCCAATACCTCAATCCTTAAGAGCAAAACATAGGGAATCCCAGCACTATGTGGCCTTAGTCCGGTTTCCAACTTTATGGGCATACTATACCTAGAGGCTCATGCCCTACCCCTTTTTCAGGTACTTCACTTTATGGTTAGGATCTGTTGTACATAAAATTAGGTACCCCAACTTTCCCTAAGGCTCCATGTACCCATGTAGTAGATACCTAGGCCTTAAAGTACCTATTTAGGGGCCCCTTTAAGGCCTAAGTACCTACTATATGGGTACATGGAGCCTTTGGGTCTATGGGGCTTACTGTAAATCCCACAAACAAGAACCCCAGGTGAGCTGGAGCGCAGCACGAACATGATGTTCCGAGCCGAGCCTGGCTTGCATTGATCTCTTGGACATCTCGCTGCTGTTTAGGGTTTAGGGTTTTAGGGTTTTGGGTTTAGGGATTTCGGGTTTGGGGTTTAGGGTTCAGGTTTTAGGGTTGTGTTGCTGATGCTGTTGGTACTGTTGGTGGTGTTGGCGCTGTTTTTGCTGTTGGTGGAAGTGTTGCTGCTGTGGTTGTTGTTGTGGTGGTGGTGGTCGTCCTCGTCGTCGTCGCTGCCTGCACCGGGTTTGTTTCACTGCTCATGGCTCTTTGCGGTGTGAATCTTCACTCTGCACTCTGCCGAGGTCTGGAACATCCTGCACCGCTTGGACGAGAAGAGCCCATTATACGGCCTTGATGAGCACAACTTCGAGGACAAGTTCCTGGCTTTTGTGGTGCAAATTGAGGGCACAGATCAGACCTACATGCAGAAGGTGTTCGCTAACAAATGCTACTACCCCTCGGACTTCCGCTTCAACGAGTCCTTCGAGGATATCATGACCATGGGCACCAACACTATCACGGTTGACTTGAAGGGGCTCAGCACCACTCGACACGTTGCCGAGCGCTCCAAGCGGTTGAGCTTCCTCAGGGCGAACACATTCACACCTGACGAGGCAAAGAAGATGGCAGCCTTCCAAACAGACCAGGACAAGCAAGACGAGGACGGGGGTTTCACAAGACAGCGTGAAGGTGAGAGGCTGCGGGATCTGCTCAGGCAAGATGATTCCATGGCAGGTGCTTATGCAATGTATGCCAATGTATGCACAGACTTGTGTTTATGTGTTTCTTGGACTTGCAAGGACGTAGATGCATCGGCAAGCACCAGACCCTCTGACGGATTCTTGCCATCAGAGGACTACAGCGACAGGGATACAGGGTCGTCTACCACCACTCCTACTACAACTATTAATACTACTGCTACTACTACTCCTGCTACAACTACTATTGCTGCTACTACTGCTACCACCACTATTAGTACTGCGAGTACTACTACTGCCTTTGTTGATACTAGAAGAGCCCCTGCAAGGAGCTTGAATGCGTGGACGCGGAAAAGGAGATATTCACAGCTGCCTGCTGAGTTCCCTGGAGGGGAGCACCGGGTGGTGTAGCACGGCAGATAGCTTCGGTTGATGATATAAATCCTGCACTACCCATAACAAGGAAAATACCATAATTCCCATAGTTTACTGTAGGGTCCTTCGGGTAATGCAGGATTTATATCATCCACCGTTGCAGCACTCCTACCACTGGTGTGGATATTTGGGGATTATATGATGGTACATGGAGCGTAAGTATCATCAGTAGCGATACTGATCAGATGGTACAGTACCAGCAACAAAAGCGCTTAACTGTACCAGTAGCTCAACAGCAAGAAAGACCGATATGTTGTCAAGCTGCAGTGGTGGGATTTTCTACACATTTCCAGCACATGTGTCGCCTTCCAGGATGCCTGTCGTGATCCTATGGATTTACACGACAGTTCCCATGCAAACCGCAAATATTTGCTGCAACAGAGTGTTTCAGGTCTCAATACTACTACTAGTACTAGTATTACTTACTAGTACTTGTGGTGGTAGTACTAGTAGTACTACCACTACTACTACTACTACTACTACTACTACTACTACTACTACTACTACTACTACTACAACTACTACTACCTACTACTACTACTACTACTACTACTACTACTACTACTACTACTACTACTACTACTACTACTACTACTACTACTACTACTACTACTACTACTCCTGCTACTACTACTACTGCTGCTACTACTACTACTACGACAACTGGTACTGCTACTACTTCTAATAATAACAATACTACAATAACTACTACTACCACCACCACTACTACTACTACTACTACTACTACTACTACTGCTACTGCTACTGCTACTACTATTACTACTACTGCTACTACTACTACTACTACTACTACTACTACTACTGCTCCTGCTCCTGCTCCTGCTTTTGCGCCTGCTCCTGCTGCTGCTGCTGCTGTCGCAGATGCTGCTGCTGCCGCTGCTGCTTCCTGCTGTTGCTGCTGTTGCTGCTGCTTCTGCCACGCTGTTACACAACACGGTTCATGGCTGGTTGAACAGTCGCCCCTGGATGTGACACAGTGCAAAGCTCGGTGGAGCCGTGCGAGATTGCGTGGTGTTTAGAGGGGAATAACTTGATGACCCGCAACCCTAGTAATCGCTACTATGATACAAAGAGTAGCGGGCTCTGTACTCACCATGACATGACCACAGTTAGTTCCGAAAGTACATCCCAGTGTTCCCACTATATATGTGGTTTTCCCCTCAACGCAGCCCAGTGCACAAAATTGCGTGGTGGTGTTGTAGGTCTGGGTGTCTGCAAACCGCGATTAAAGAAAACATTGCGTGAGTAAGTCTCGAAATGAATGTCCACCTTATACCCCTTAAACCATAGACTCCAATATCCCTTTGTTAAGGAATACTCCTTAAATCATAATAGGGATCCTATAGTTTAAGGTATACTCCTTGATTTGGGGATGTTGGAGTCTCTGGGAACCCTGGGCCCTAACTTAACATCTTCCAAAACCTGCATTACTGGTATAGGAACCCCCCCCAACAAGCGACCCATGATTTTCCGACATGCTCATATGATAGGGAGAACAGTAGTAGCAAGAAACATTAGTTAATGACAGTCAACAACAGGAGGAATCGCAGTTGCAGAGGAAAGTACTGCTGATAACAGGAACAGTAATGATAGTTGCAATGATTTCCAGCTGGATACTGATGCTAGCAAGTATCGTACCATTCCCCAGTAATTCCCCGCTATTTATTAGCCACGCACGCTCGGCTGGAACTTAGCTCTAGTAATGGTAGCAAATTGCCTGCACTTAGTCTTCCCAGTCAGTCGCTGAGCGACTTGCGGATTGGCAGACCAGCGCAGGCCATAGGATCTTCCTGATGAGGGCAGAAGGGCGTTCATGAATGACAGCCCATCTAGCCCTTTTCGGGGCGACCAAAGCAAAAAGCAAGTCTCAGTGCATGGCGTTGCTTGGGGGAAGTGGAAGCCTTCTCTTTTCTGGGTCTGCGCTGGATTAAGCTATGCGCTATGCAAGCCTGAGAGTATGGGAACCCCTAGATCGAAACGCCTTTACATGATTATGAAAAGCGGTGGCCGTGATAGTACCAAAGACAGTTTACACAAATGATATTATGTTAATACAGTTGTCATTCAAATCATCAGCCAGTGCCGATGATACTCACTCCTACTAGCAGCGCGGTACAGATAGGGATCTTGAATCGAAGCTTGTTTTCGCAGCTCAATTGATGCGCGATCCCCACACGTAATAACCATCTTAGCAATAGGGTATTGGTGAAACAGGAACTGGTGAGCAGAACAGTAATCATTCTGATAGTACGTATGCACTTCCTGGTTTGTGTGTTCATTGCTTATCTTACTTCGTTGTGGAATATGTTTTATGTGCGTGCACAAAAACTCGCTTAGGTATATACATACTATGTATATATATCTATATATATATATATATATCCCTAATTGTTGTTAGGCCGCTTGACAGTGTGTAAGGTGGTTTTGGCGTAGGCACGATAAATGTATTACGTTGAGGTCCCCAGATTACTTGAGGAATATACCTTAAATTATAGTAGGATGCCTACCATGGTTAAACTCTAAACCATAAACCCTAACTCCTTAATTTAAGGGATATTGGAGTCTCTGGGTCGGTCACGGAGATTCCTGACCAGCTCAAAGAAAGTGTCAGCTGAAGGCCTGCAGGACCAGGAAGCTCAAGGTGGTATCGGGTTTAGGGTTAGGGTTCAGGGTTTGGTTTAGGGATTAGGGAGTTTAGGTGGGGTTCATGCCAGCTAAATAACATGCCATGCCTCAGCTGCTACCCATCCAAATAGACTGTAGAGGCCAGTGATTCGCCATGTGGACTGGGCTCTATTTGGGCGACTGTTACCGGCTCTTCAGAAGACCTCGGTCGCTCCTGGCACAAGTGCTGAACTTGGGATGTGCATACTATCTTGCAGTGATGCTCTGGAAAGTCGTCATGGTGACCACAAACTGTGAAAGCCCGGTATTCATTGTGCAGAGTGGCGGCGACCTCAGGTTACACCGCGGCGACATCTTCTTCCTCACTGGCTCAGATTCATTCAGAGCAGGCGATGAGGTGGTGTATCAAGTACCGGGCAGGGATGTTTTGGTTGCTCACAGGGTCGCCAACGTCCATGAAGAGCCTGATGGAACGCTAGCCTTGCTCACGAAAGGCGATGATAATGTTGTGAATGACCGCGGTCTCTATCCGCAGGGGCAGCTGTTCCTTACCCGGCCGGAAATCGTCGGGCGTGTTTCTGCATATCTGCCATACCTGGGGATCCTTATACTTATGTTGAACGACTATTTGTATTTGAAGTATTGGCTTTTTTTCTCGATGGTTTTCGCTTGCTTGGCTGGCCGTGGAAGTTGGAAGAGGTTCTTTGCATTGAGTTTGGCAGACTGTGTGGCCCATGGCTTCTAAAGCTGTTCTTGCAGGTTTCCACTGTAGCACCTTGCAGTCTGCCCCGTACAGTTGGGCCGAACGCTGCAGGTACTCGCTCAAAAGACCGAGACTGCGACCAAAAGATGAATCTTGTAGCCAGTCCGGTACGGTTGGTCATGAAGAACCCCTATGAAACATAGGTTCAATATCATTTGAACATCGGTTTCATTACAGCCATCATCACTTAATGGAACAAGAATCAGGAGGTACTCTTGGAACCCTAAGCCCTCAACCCTACAACCTAAACCCTACACCCTAAACCCTAAACTCTAGACCCTACTTGGCAGCGCAAGCGACCATGAATGGAAGCTCAGGGAGTGCATGCAACAATCCTTTTAGGGCTTTTGGGTTTGGGGTTTCAGGGTTTGGCGTCTTCAGTTTGAGGTCTGAGTCTGGGGTTGAGGGTTGGGGGTCTCGAGTTTGAGGTTTTCGGCTTAGGGTTCTGGTTTAGGTTACCTAAGTTGTCTCCCTGACCCAAAGGCCCCATGTACCCATATAGTAGATACTTAAGCCTTAAAGTACCCATAAAAGGGCCCCTTTAAGGCCTAAGTATGTACTATATGGGTACATGGAGCTTTTGGGTGAGAGATTGAGACTCAGCTGTGGTAAATTCGTAGCCCCTCGGCCCCCTAATCTGAACATGCCTCCTTGGCCCTTCTTGGAGCCCGAAATGGAGGTGTCCGAAAATTAGGGGTACCATAGTTTGGGGACCTTATAATAGGGATCCTGCTACTTAGGGTACTATATTTGGGTCCCCTATTTTCGGAAACTCCCAAACTAGAACTCTTACAGCGCTGCAAGAGAACCCTCGAACCAGGCGACTCAGCTACGGCAGGTCTTACCTTGGTTTCTAGGGAATGGAGGAATGGGGTGCAATTATAGCTACTATTACTACCATTCTTCCTTTCCCTACTAACCAAAGGTAAGTATTCCTATTATTAGTATTATTATTATAGTACCCTTATTATAGATCCCTTATTATGGATCCCTTATTATAGATCCCTGGTAAGAGGTAGGTTACAGGAGCATTCGGGAGCCTCCGAATCTGAGATGCTTCTCCGGAGCTCTCTTTTCGTTTTCTTTCGATCTGCCGGGGTTGCTGCAAGGCTTACTAAACCAGGTTTACTAAAGAGGATCACGAAAATGAGGCTTACTAATTATATGGGTACTACAGTTCGAAGCCCATACTGCTCTGAACCCAACAGCCCACAAAAGAAACCATGACCCTTAAGGCCTGCAGTCGAGATGAGCCCCAAAACCTCCGCACACAAAGGCGCGAGTGACTGCGCTCTACGCCGAAGCACTTGCCGCCGACACTGTCTTCGAGGCTGCAGATGCACAAACTCCCGGTTTAAGGCTCTTCGGTGCCCAAACCCTAAAGCCCTAAACCGTACCTCCTGCACCCTAAACCCCCTAAACCCTAAACCCCGTAAACCCTAAACCCCATAAACCCTAAACCCCCTAAACCCTAAACCCCCTAAACCCTCAACCCTAAAAAGACCTGTTGACACATGGGTGGTTGTCAAAATTAGGATCCTTTTTTGGGTCCTTTTATAATACGGCACCTATTATTTAGGGTGCCCAAAATAGGGACCAAAATTTTGACAACCACCCAAATCCATGTTGAAGTTTGAAGCGCGCATCGTTCAACCCGATGCTGCACGCCTAATCCGACACTCTGTTGCACCAAGACGCATCAAACGTATCAAACCCGAAACTAGGTTCCTGAACTGAGCAGTACTCTTTTGCCCTTTTTGATATGGGGGGCCCCCTCATTCAACACCTAATAGTAGGAAAAAAGCCTACTTTTTAAGGACTTATATAAGGAAATCATAATAGGGAACAATAAAAAGGTAGGTTCTTCAGGGTTAAGGTAGTCTGTAAACCCCGGAGCTTCAACAAACTCCATCCTACGTCCTAAAGTCTGAAAGGCGAGAGTCAGTGTTGGCCCTTATACTCGAGTCCAAGGCCCCTCAACCCTAAATCCTAAACCCCAAAGCCTACAGTGAGCCCTGAACTATCAACTATAGAATTCCCCCTTAAACGACTGCACCCTCCAGTTGGCTGAAGGAGCCCATCTATGTGCTGGGAATGAAAGCGTGCACGGAGCCCACTCGATTTCGAATCTTTCAGTCTGTTAAGAGGGTTCTATAGGTTTTTCCCAGAGGTTCCTTTTCGGTGGCGTTCTATAGAACTTGAACTAAATAGGAATGAGTTGTCCGTATATTCCGGTGCTTTTCAAGCAGTGAGTTTTCTCTCGAGGGGCTGAGGGCCGATTGTTTTTCGAACTGGGGCTCAATAAGGGCTCATAGGCAACAGAATTAGAAGCTTCCCAGAGGCTTTGTTTTTGGATTAAGGGCTTGCGCGGGCTTAGTAGGGGCGTTTTTATGTGCTGGATCGCAGGTCAGGCTTCCGTTCCACGGTGTCGTTCCACAGTCTGGGGTGTCTTTCAGATCTCTCCAGGGTTACATGATTAGGGCACAGTGCCCTAGCATATTTCGGCACCATCACATTGCAATTGCTAAAGCAATGGCACCCTGAATGCAGTCAACCGGTCAAATGCAGACCAATCAAGGCTATCATCGGCATCCCAATGCGAAAGCCCTGAACGAAAGGAGCTTTGCAATCAGGGGGCCACTAGCTGTCGTTGCACAAAGGATGGGCTGACCCCATCGCCCGAAGAGTGGTAATCATCAGGTTACGCAGGCGCCTCAACACTTAGAATAGGTTATGAGGTGTATTTTGTTATGGCCATACCACTGAAGCCCCAAACCCTTGGCATCACTACCGGATGATTCGCTTTTGGCTTGACTATCCCAAGGTTTGATCGAGGCTTCCTACTGCTGAGCAAAAACGTCTGGAAAGAGATCATGCTATGTTTGCTACCCGGAATCAAGATCGGTAATGCTTTCAAGCCATGATGATGAGGATGCTGCCCTAGACCCTAAACCCTAAACTAATCCCAGATGATGAGAACGAATCCCAATTGTGCCGAGGCCTCCCACTTGAGAAACAAAAGTTGCCAGGGTGTCCCAGGGCCATACTTAAAGGATCATGGGACTTAGTAAGTATGGTTGTAAGTACCTTAATTGGGGTTATAAGTACGTATAAGTATAGTTACCCGAATAATAACCTTAGTTACTAAGTCCCATGATCCTTTAAGTAGTCCTGGGCGGAGCCGATAGAAGCCTTCGAAGGTTTGGGGCCCCAAGGCACCTAAATATAAACTATTGAGACCTACTCCCCCTTTGTAGGGATGACGATGATGTCACTGAAATCTAAGCCCTGAACCCTCAGTCCTAAATTAAACCCCAAAGCTAAATCCTAAACCCTAAACCTTTACCCAGAGCCCCAAACCTCTATAGGTGAGGCGGAGAGTGAGTGGCAGCTGGCTCTCCATGCCTTGGAAAAGGCCTGGCTTGAGTGCTACTGTAGGGATCAATTACTGTTACAGGGCTTTCTATAAGAGTTCCTTTAAGGGTCCTTCAAGGACAACTACCAATAAGGGTTGCTGTAAGGGCAGTACTTCTAAAGGTTAGTGGCCCTCTATAAGGGCTACAAGAAGGGTTACTATAAGGGCTACTACTGTTGATGATATAAATCCTGCATTACCTTAAGGACCCTAAACTATGGGAATTATGGTGTACTCCTCATTATGGGTAATGCAGGATTTGCATCATCAACCGTATGAGGGCTACTATGTGGATCCTGAAGCACCTGCCTTTTTAGGTCCCCTCATGGTGATTTCCTGATTACAAGTCCTTAACAAAGGGTAGGTTATTTGGGGTTAAGGTAGATCTTATAAGAAGGCTTTCTAGAAGGGCTGCGAAAAACGGGTGGTTGTCAAAACTTGGGGCTCCCTTTGGATTCCCAAGGGATAGGGTGTTGTACTAAGGCTAGAACAAACATGTAGGGTTCCCCAAGAGGGCCTATACATTAAAGCCCAGCGTGTGTCCGCAAGCTTGTTGCTGACCAGATCGGGGTTTCCGAAAATTGGGGATCCTAATATAGTACTTTAAATAGTAGGATCCCGATTATAAGGACCCCAAAATAAGGTTTAGGGTTTAGGGTTTAGGGTAAACCCTAAACCCTAAACCCGTAATATTCGGAAACTCCCAGATCGTCCAGCATGGCGTGGTCCGGCGATTGGATGCAAGGACTCCGGGAGCTAACGGCTTACGCGTCGAAGGTGCAGGAGTCCCCAGAGACTCCAATATCCCTTAATCAAGGAGTTTTCCTTAAATCATAATAGGGATTCTACTATAATTTCCTTTAATTAAGGAATATTCCTTAAATCATAACAGGGATTCTACTAGAATTCAAGGCATATTCTTTACTTGAGGGATATTGGGGCCTCAGGGTCCCAAGTTTCGGAATGAAGTAGACGAGTTCAGACCTCTTGTTTTGAAAGCCACGGATCTCCCTATATAGTCCTAACCTTAACCCCGAAGAACCTACATTTTTAAGGACTTGTAGAAAGAAATCATGATAAGGAACCCTAAAAAGGTAGGTTATTCAGGGATAAGGTAATTAAATATGTGAGAGGGTTCTGTTCTAAATGAGGGATCTACATGAGTGCATCGCACACGGTCGTTGGGCAATTGTGGGACCGGGCGAGACTCATCAGTCGGTTTTGTGGTTCTTTAAGGGATTTAATCTAAGTTGCATTTACTATAGATCTCCACTACGGCAGCTTAAAGCCCAAACCCTAAACCCTTAAAGGAACCCTTATAGAATAGATCCCGATTCAGAACTCTTCTATCAAAGGGTAAAAGGAGGGATCCCTAATAAGGACCCTTAGGTATATACCCATATTATAGCCTTTATATACCCATTATATAGCCCATTATAGAGTAGGGGTCCCCATTAAGGGTCCCTCCTTTTCCCCTTTGAAAGAAGGGTTACCATAAGGGCTACTATGTGTATCCTGGAGCACATGCCTTTTTAGGTCTCCTCATGGTGATTTCCTGATTCCAAGTCCTTAACAAAGGGTAGGTTATTTGGTGGTTTCCGAAAATTGGGGGTACCTTTATTGGGGGGCCTTATAATAGGGATCCTACTATGTAGGGTACTACATTAGGGTCCCCTATTTTCGGAAATTCCCATTTGGGGTTAAGGTAGTTCTTATAAGAAGGCCTTATTAAGAACTCTTTGAAGGAGCTCTGAGGTGCAGGCGCTAGGTCGGAAGTAGACACTGGCCCGGGTGTCGTGACCTCCCCTGGGTTTAGGGGTTATGGCTTACCTTGACCTACCAAAACCTACTTTTTTGTGCAAATTCCATATTAAGTTTCTATAATAAGAACCTACAAAAAGTAGGGTTTGGTAGTTTAAGGTAGGGGTTCCATAGGGGAGTTTCCGAAAATGGGGGACCTTAATATAGCACCCTAAATAGTAGGATCCTTATTGTAAGGACCCCAAAGTAAGGTACCCCTAATTTTCGGCAACTCCCATAAGGGTTGCTGTTTGGTGCCAGAGGGGTTCCGAGTCTTCACGGTTTAGCTTGAGGGCTTTTGAGTTCAGGATTTGGGAAGACCGCTTCACATGCGCACAGCTTTTTCCCTCATACCCAAACCTCATAACCCGAGGCGAGAATGGTGGTAATAGAGAACTGCTCTACCAAGTTCCCTGCCTCCATGAAACTGAAGCAAGCATGCAAGCAACGTTAGTTGAAGCCCCTAAACCCTCAACCGTAAACCCTTAGTTGAAGCGGTTGGTGGCTTCGGGCTTGGGGCGCTTATCTTCCAACACTAGGGTGGATGATATAAATCCTGCATTACCCATAATAAGGAATATACCATAGTTCCCGTAGCTTAGGGTCCTTATTGTAATGCAGGATTTATATCATCAACCTGATCCCTAAACCCTAAAACCCTATAGGCCCCTTAAAGGAACCCTCAAAGGAACCCTTAAAGGTACCCTTATTCATCCCTGTAACGGAGCCCTAGGGATTTATATCATGAACCGTAGGGCCACGAAGTCGGTAAAGGGTTTATGTGTACAGGGTTTTTTTGAGCCCCTGAACCTCAAAGGCCTCAATGTTCAGCCTTTGTGGGTTGGGGATGGGACTTTAGGGCTTAGTGTTTGGGGCTTTAGGGTTTGGGGCTCTGGGGTTTAGGGTTTAGAAAAGCTCTGGACTCTAGGTCCTTTTGATGACAGGTTCCCCGACAGAAGAACATACACCCACCCACCATCCACCAACCCACCCACCCACCCCACCCCTCGAATTCAAGAATCCCCAATCTGTTCGCGAGGATGCTAGGCTCGGCTCGGGCTGCCTGTCTCAAGGCCCGGCATTTCCAGAGACTCCAAAACCCCGGAAGTGAACGGTATTCCACAAATCAAAGTCTTTCAAAGGGTTCCTTAAATGGTTCTTACGGGATGTGTGGGGGTTTAGGACCTACTAGCTCGGTTCCTGAGTTGCCTTTTTGATTTGAGGGTCCCGGGTTAAGACCGAACAGTAGGTAAAGGGGTACCCTTGTTATAACATAGCACCACGTCGTGGAGTCGTGGGGGTCCTGTGTTTGTATACTGTATTTACATAATATTACACTATATATATATACACATACATACATACATACATACATACATACATACATACATACATACATACATATATACACAAATTCACCAAACAAAAAAGCAACAACTTCCACTGGGTCGAGAATGCAAAGGTCAAGTGCTCGGATCCTGATGAGGCCGTCCACATCTTCATCACATCTCGCGCCGGCTTCGAAGTCAGCTCAGGGTTTAGGGTTGGCGGCTCTCCAGTTTCGCGGGTATCTGTCCTCCACGGCTATGTCCTGGGCTCAGAAACACGAACTCTGGGCCTCTGACCATCAACACGCGTGAGCCGGCCAGGACTACGACACCGCTCGTTTCCTATGACTTGTTCTCTGGGTGTCCATGGGTTCGGAACGTGTTGCACGTCGCAAGCTCCTGCAAACCTCCCTAAACGAGCCTCCAACTCCCGTGATGCTGCGGGAATACAGCAAGTTGTGGCACGACACAGCCATTCCCAATATGCTCAGACACGGTGTGAAAATGATGTCGGTGTGCATGACGTATGAGAAGATCGCCACGAAGTGTTACATACCCCCTCCCCCCTCCCCGGACAGGGTGGTCGTTTTTGTGGCGACGATCTTTTCAAGCTGTGCCAGAACGGATGGCTCATGGTCAGTGACCCGGCTAATGGGATATATGCTCTCGGGTCCCGGGCCGCCACCTCCCCCCCCCCCCCAATGGTATACCCCCACCCCCCCCCAACCCCCTGCCGCCCTGCTGCTGCACGCCGGTGATGGTGGCAGATCTTCTTTTGAAGGTATCAATGATGAACATGACGACGACAAGGATGATGTTGAGCATGGTATGATCGTCGACTCATGTCCCGGTCTAGAGCAGCACAACATCATGAGCAGTAGCACCGGTGCCACAACAAGAGGGAAGACAAGGAGTAACACATAAGAACGTCGTGGCAAAAAGAGTACCACCACAGGCCCCACACCACAGGGGGGGCCGGGGGGAAGGGGGAGGATACCATGGGGTGGGGGGAGGGGGGGTGTGGCAGCCCTGCATCATATATGGTCAGGCGTCTGGCGTTCCCAGCCCCCAGCCCCCCATATGGTATGGTCTGATAGGGGTGGGGGGTGGGGCGTGTGCGGAAAGGGGTTGGGGGCTGTTGGAGCTGCCACTGGATGGTGGGGTGGTGCCGGCGGCCAGAGCTCACGCGCAAGCCCTTTGCAAGCAAACCGTAAACCCTATAACGCAGCGCGTGCCCCCGTTTTGAGCAACCTTAACTTGTACTTAAAACGCTGCACCCAACCTAAACCCTACCTAACTGCAGGCTCTAAGCCTAAAGCAGAGCATACACCGCAAATCCTCCCTAAGCCCTTGTCGACTCGAAGCCTTATACCTTATAACCGTAAACCCAAAACTCAAAAGCTTAAGCTAAACCCTAAACCCCAAAACCTCACAACCACCCCACAGGGAGAGGAACCCCACACCCCACACCACAGGGGAAGGGGGGGCCCCGCTATATCCGGGCCAGATGGACTTGAAGCACGTGAACTTTGGTTCGTGGACAAGTTCCTCGCCAAGGCCACTCCTCCAAGTGCGCTGGCTCCCCATACAATCATCCTCAGCTCTCACGCCGCCTCGAAAACGTCAACAACAGCATCTCCGAGCAGATCTTTGCTTGGCTCCGCGGCAACGCTGCCAACTTGAACGGCATGAACGCTGTGAGACATCGTGTATGGGCAGCTCATGAAGGGCGATGCGGCACACTTGAACCCCTTCTCGGCACACAAGAAAGCTATGAGGGAGGGTAGGGTTCAGCGCAAACCAGCAAGCAAGGAGTGTTGCTGCACTATGAAGGTGAGAAAGCACATCAACAAAATTCCAAGCAAGCTTGTCCGCAAGAGCCCAAGCACTAGAAGTGAACCCTGTGCGATGCTGTCGAAAACTCAGACATATGTAGACCAAAGAAAGGTCCGTAGTACTGTCACATCTGTCCGGAACCCGTTGTTCCACCGATGCTGGGTAAGCTACTCGGTGCATCACAGCGATCGTACACTGGCAAGGTCTGTTGCTGACAAGGTCTGTTGCTGACAATGTCTGCGCTATGTCAATGCACACGTTGAATGAACTTCCATGAATAATGACGGCGTTAACTAGAAGTATAATCTAAGCTTTAATTTGCCATTTAAGGACCACTGCAGATCAGACAGCTGCAGACAAACTTGTTTGCAGATGGACGTCTCTTTGGAGCCAAGCCCAAAACCCGACTCCAGGCCAGCAAGCAGGCTAAAACACAGGCCCCACGACGTTGTGTATTTTAGTATAAATGGGCTACTCAGGAACCTATACTTAAGGCATGGTCATGCTAGAGTTCCTTGGCTGGGAGCCCCCCGAAAACCCAAGTTGCGTCTAAGCTTCAGGATCCAGGTACCCCATATCTTCAAAATCGTCGGGAGAACGGCTCAAGTAATTTCAGGATATTTATGTATACAGTTTCAACTCCATATCCTTGCTGCCATGATTCGCGTCTTGCAATTAAGTGGTGGGCTTTCTGGGATCCATCACTGGAATATCTCGAAGGTGAGCAGAAGGTGGCTTTGTCAAAACCAACGTGCTTGCAAAGCAGTCCTGGTTTGCGCTCTGGTTGAGAGCTTGGGATGATACTCCGCCCCCCCGTTATCTTGAACCCCAGACAGTATTCGCAATTGTACACGCATACAATCGGCGGCTGAGGCAAACTATACCATATTCCGAAAACCCTTTTCTCGTTCCTGCACCTCATCTACACTCGGCGCAGGCAGGCCAGTGGGAGCTAGCGTGTCGAGCTCAGCGTGATCTGACGGAAAGGCCCTTCCAGGTTGGTCCAGTGTTTCGGGCTTCTCAAGGTTTGTGATCCCAGGAGCCCTCAAACTTAGACTATAAACCTTTTGCCCTTTTCATCCAGGAAGCTCCCAAAACCATAAACACTGAGGGTGGCATTGGACCTGCGTAGTCAAACCAGGGACCAGAGCCGAGGCGGGAGCACCTCCGTGCAGGGCACGTTTTAGGGCTTAGGGTTCAGGGTTTAGAGGTTTAGGGTTTAGGGTTGAGGGGTTTAGGGCCCCTAAACCCTAAACCCTAAACCCTAAACCCCTAAACCCTAAACCCTAAACCCTAAACCCCTAAACCCTAAACCCTAAACCCAAAAGTTTAGGGTTTAGGAGCTTCAGGGTTTGGCCTACTACTAGACTTGTGGCATCCTGCTGCTAATAAATCGGCTTAAGCAACTAGCCATATACTGTTCCCGAGGCTCCTATATACAGGTAGAGGACTAAAGTTTAAAAAGCACCCAAAACCCCTTTTTCCAATTCTGAAGGCCTCTATAAGTATCGTAAGGACAAGATTTAAAATTTAAGTATACCCAAAACCCTTTTCTAATTCCTATGGCCTCTATGTTAGACATAGACTCGTCTCATAAATGCCCTTGGGCCCCAAGGTTGCAGCTTTCTCGGCAGCGCCGGGACACAGGCGGTCACACAACTGAAGTTGTTTTGGGTTGTTTTAGGGCTTATGGGTTCGGGATGGTTTAGGGATGTTTAGGGTTTTAGGCCTTTGGGGTTATATAGAGGTTTAGGAAGTTTAGGGGTAAGGGTTTACTTGGATACCTGGAACTACCAGAACCTTTTTCTTTGGCCGGCCCACTGCATAGTCTGTATTAATTCGGGCTAAAATCATTACCTACAAAAGCGAACCCTGTTACAACAGATAAAGCCCTTCAACAAGACCTTGGATGCTGGATTCTTGGGTGACAGATCAGGCTCAAAAGTTTAGGGCTCAGTGTGTCAAGCGGTTGTCCTAAACCCTGAACGGCCCTGCGTGGAGGTTCATGGTTAGTTATAAGTAGGATCATAAGTAGGATAACTAATTATAGTTATAACCCATAATTATTGGGGGACTTATAACCATACTTATAGCTACCCCTGAACCTCCAAGTACACCCTAAACCCTAGGCATAAGTTTTCAAGGTATCAGATCTCCGGCCGTGGTCATATCCTAGGACTTCGAGTCTCTGGGAGATGTCGGATTTCGGGTGCAGTTCGGATGTCAGGATAGCTTTGTCATACTTGTAGTTGGATAGCACTTTACATGTTTATGGGTACCTATAAACCCAAGAAGAAACAGACATGCAAGCTTTTTAAGACTATCCCAACCATGTAAGCCCTGAAGGCCTCGGCTTCGGGATAGGAGGAGTGCATAGCTTCCTGTGCTGTCTCTGCAGGGGCCGAACCTGACGCCTTCCACTTCTCGGCCCCTTGGTCCGGAGATGCTTGGCGCTTTGGGGATTTAGGGTTTAGGATTTAGGGTTTAGGGTTGAGGGTTTAGGGTTTCAGGGTTTAGGGTCTTGGGTCGGGGCTTCGGCTGGTCCATCTATCATCCGCCGACTTCCTTGCCAGTGTACCCGTCCGCGCGATATCAGTGGAGGCTACGATCAAACTTAGCAATGACTGCGGCATTGATCTTTGTCCGATCGGTTGAACGCCTGTCAGGGCTGGCTTTTTTCGGGGCTTTCGATATGCTAGGCCCCGCAACGCTTAAGGTTTTCAGGGCGCCAGGAGCTACAGGGGCATCAATATTTTTTTTGGAGTTGCAAAGTTCATTCGTAGTATATAGTATACATCAAAAACGTTTTCTGATGATTTTGGCTCTATATTCGGAAACAGCCGTTTCGAGCTTATATGCACTTGCTTTCACGCTTTGCACGCAAATGGTTTAGGGCTTTACGGTGTTGAGGTGCTATTTTGGGGGTTTGTGAGGTTTACCTATAGTCTGCATTGTAATTCTTTTTTGGTTTAACCCATTATACAGTTAGGATCCTATAAGGTAACCCCCAAGAGGAGCTACCATGAAGACTGTTTGTAGGGTCTTGGGTGTGGCGTTGAGGGCTTCAGGTTCTGAGGTTCACAGGGTTTACTTGGAGGTTAACGGTTAGTTATAAGTAGGGTTAAACGGTTATAAGTAGGATAACTGTTATAGCCCCATATCAGGGGACTTATGACCCTACTTATAACTACCCCCTGAACCTCCAAGTAGGGTTCGGGTGCTTGGGTTGCTGACGCACACATGCTCCACTATGCATGAACCCGTGATCGCGAGCCTTCTTTCACACACCCTCAAGTTAAAAAGCTGAGAACGTAGAGGTAGCTCTGAAGAGACCGTGGCCTTTCTGAGGTCCTGGGAGACAAGACAGGGCACGAGCTCGATTCAACTAGACCTACCTGTGTGCTCTGGGTTTGCTATAAGTATAAGCTTCGGAAACGGATCTACAACGGTCCTTTAATTTTGCCACAGAGGTGGAGATGTTGGCCCTGGAGAGGCCCGAGAGAGGGGGCTTCCAAGCTTAGGGTTTCGGGTCCCGGGTTTGGGGCCTCCTGGGCTTTCGGAATAGGGTTTAGGGTTTAGGGTTTAGGGTTTAGGGTTTAGGGTTCAGGGTCCACGGTTTTGGGTTTAGGGTTTAGGGTTTAGGGTTTGGGGGTTTCAAACAGGGCTTCCCTCCTACCACGGGGTTTGGGCTTACCTAGAGGCTCATACCCCTACCCCTTTTTTAGGATACCTAGGTTTGTGGTTAGGATCTGTTATCTTAAAACGTAGGCGCCCTAAAAAAGGGGGTAGGGTATAAGCCTCTAGGTAGGGTTCCCCTTGTAGGGTTATTCGGGTCTTCAGGGCAGTCTCGGGCCAGCACGCCCGAGACTGCAGCAAAGCAGCCATGCTTCTATTTACCGGAGCCGGAACTGGCGCTTGGGTTTGGAGGGTTTGGGATAGACCTTAGAAGGGGCCCCCATCCTGTAATAGTGGTATAGTAGGAATATAATAGGGCCCTGATGTAATCCTTAAAGTCACTATTACAGGGTGGGGGCAGCTTCTAAGATAGACCTTAGAACCTTAAGGCGCTAGGCTTCAGTGGCTTAGACGTATACAGGGCTTCGGTTCAGACCTCAGGCACTCAGCCCCCGATACTCCATATTCCTTGGGGAATATACGGTCATGATTCAGGCCCGGCTTACCCTAAACGCTTAAACCCCCCGAAACCTCTGAACCCTTAACCCTGAAACCCCTGAACCCAAACCCCTAAATGCCTAAACCCTTGAACCCAGTCCCCAATAGACCCCTAAACCCCTAAATCCTTGAGCCCAAACCCTAAACCCTTAAACCCCTAAACCCCTGAACCCAAACCCCTAGACCCCTAAACCCTAAACCCCTAAACTCTAAACCCCATAGCCTGAACCCTAAACTCCACAGGCAAGGGCGTCTCGACCTGGCAATAAAACTCTTCGAGGACCATGGGCCCAGTGAAAACCAAAGAAAAGGGAAGTTATGGGTTTACCTATAGTCTCCATTGTAGTTCCTTTTTTTGGTTACCCAGTTTTATGGTTAGGATCCTATAATGGGGATTTTGGTTAACCAAAAAAAGGAACTACAATGGAGACTGGGCTCTTAGGGCTTAGGGTTTAGGGTTTTTTTGGGGTTCGGGATTTTGGAGGGGGAGTTAAGGGTTTGGGCTCGAGAATGTTGGGTCATGGGTGCTGAGTTATGGATGCTGGGTTGAGTTTCTCGGTTTAGGCTTAAGGGTTCAGGGACACGTGGTTAGAGGTTCGGGTTTTTGATGCGGGTTCTGCAGCACCCGGTGCCGTTTGACAGAAGGAATACCTTTTTGGACAATCAACATGAGAAAGGACCCAGGCACAGCTTTAAGTCTACATATAACTTTGTAACGTAACATTGAAGGTTGAGGTAGATTATCAACGGAGCCTTAATCAAGAATCATTGGAGTCTCTGCTTGGAGGTTCACGGGGAGTTATAAGTGGAGTTAGAAGTCCCCGAGTACAGGGTAGCACTATAGTTATCCTACTCATAGCCCCGCTTATCATAGATGTAACTATGAGCCTCCCCTAGACCCCAAACCCTAAACCCTAAACCCTATAGATCCCTTATGGATCCCTTAAAGGCACCCTTAAGGAACCCTAAGTGGCGCAGAGGAGATGACTTCGCAGAGTGTGACGCCAAATCAGTATGTGCCGGGTTCTCAACCTCAAGGCTCTGCGGCTGGTAGGCGAGCCCTTTTTAGGGTTTAGGGATATTAGGGTCTAGGGAGTTTAGGGATTTTAGGGTCTAGGGAGTTTAGGGTTTCGGGAGTTAAGGGTTTAGGGAGTTTAGGGTTTAGGGAGTTTAGGCTCTAGGGAGTTTAGGGTTTGGAGAGCAGTGAGGTTATTTCTTCAGGAGGATGGCAATTTCGCTCAACATGCTGAGGGTTGAGTGTTGCAGGTTGGAGTCATACGAGTTTCTAAACAGAGTCTGGATTTTTACGGCCATCGAGCGGTTTGGACAGGGATTGGCACCGACCTTTTTGTGGATGCACCAATGTGGCTTCGGCGCATGCTGGTTGCGCGGCGAGTCTCAGGTGGCAAGGAAGTCGCCTCCACTGTGCACGACCATGTTCCTTTCACACATGCGGCCACCACGGCCGAACGGCGGAGCCCATCTGAAGAGGGCACCATACACGCGCTCGTCGTCAAAATCTGCACAGCTGGACCAACGCTTGGCTTTTGCATGCAAGTTTGCAGAAGGTCCTGAGCGGTGTGAGGAAGAACAAACATCCGCGTGGCACATCAAGCCTCCATTAAACCCCTCGCAGTTTCTTTCACTCCCGGAAACCACTCGCTCGGACTCGTCCCCCCTACCTGAGCCCACCAGGCTACTACCCCAAAGGCAAATGCTGCATGATGCTCGGGGACTAGATGCTGGACCCGCAACGCCCCCCTTCCCTGTATGTACTTAAGGGATCATGGGACTTAGTAACTAAGGTTACTATTCGGGCAACTATACTAATACGTACTTATAACCCCAATTAAGGTACTTATAACCATACTTACTAAGTCCCATGATCCTCCAAGTATGGCATGGAAAGATGGAGGGCGAGGGTGCCGGATCTAGGGTTTCGTTTCTTCAAGGGTCGTAGGGGTCTAGGGAGTTCTTGCTAACTCTGGCGCAGTGAAGGAGGGAGGACTGAGATTAAGGGCTTAGGATTTCTTGTGTGTGGTCTTGGTCTGTTCATTTTTGTTGCTAGTGCTTGGGCTCGCATTTGGACCCTTGAGGCCTTTAATCGATCCAGCATGTGACAAGCAAGCCCTCCAAGATACTCGACTCTCATGGGAGACGGCACCGACCCCACTGCGCCACATGCCGGCATTCGGGACTCGGGTGTGATTTGGGGTGTGGGAGTTCGGCTTTCGGATGTAATGGTGTCCTTAACAGATGGGGTCCAAGCTGTAGAAGCAGCAGTTACTCGGATGCCATGAATGCTTCGAAACTCTTGCCAGGGAAGCTTCCACTTCCTCATGATTGAATAGTCCCTTACCCTTCGGGTCCATGTACACAAATATAGTGAACCCCAGAAAGTTGGAACATGGATTTAGGATGATTAGTGCTAGGATTCCTTCTACTTTACCTTGAGAGCATGAGGAGAATGGTGTTCCAACTTTCTGGCTTCTACTATAGTATATACTTTGGCCCAGAAGTACCTTTTCAGAGACTACGTTAAAGCCAATGTGTATATATATATATATACTTATTTATTTATACTAGTTGAGTACATGGACCCTTAGGTTTAGTAGGTGAGTAGGGAACCTTTAACCCTTTGGGGTTTGTACAACCCTGCCATAATCATACTCAGCCTCGAAGTTCTTGCAAGAGCACAATGGCCTTGTCCTTCGGTTACGTGGCGTTCTGTGCGACAAGATCGGAATATTTAAGGCCACTGACAAACCTTTCACCACACACTTAAACCCTAAACCCATACATTTCTGCAGCCAAAAGAACACCCGAAGCCTTACTGTAGGGATCTATCGTACTTAAACGCGGTCGCTTGAGCTACATTCGTTGAAGAAACCAGAAAAGAAGACCCCAAGCCCTAAACCCCAACACTTTATCAACTTGAAAGAAGGCGCTTTATCAACCTGAAAGAAGGCGCCTCCGAAGCCCGGGACCCCTAAAACCCCTAAACCCTAGTAAACCCTAGACTCCCTAGACCCTAAAACCCCTAAACCCTAGACCCTAAACCCTAAACCCTAGTAAACCCTAGACCCTAAACCCTAAACCCTAGTAAACCCTAAAACCCCTAAACCCTAAACCCTAGTAAACCCTAGACCCTAAACCCTAAACCCTAGTAAACCCTAGACCTAGACCCTAAACCCTAAACCCAAAAGAAACCCCATGGAGCACCAACAAATTATGGACCTCTGGAGCCTTAATATAGGGGCCTTCATCCTATAAGGAAGGGTTATTCATAAGGATTTAGTACAGGAGCCTTAATAATTACCAATACTACTTTTCGGGTTCCTCATTTTACCTAAGTATAGTACCCGGAGACTCCAATATCCCTTAATTAAGGAATATTCGCTAAATTATAATAGGATCCCTAATATGATTTAAGGAATATTCCTTAATTAAGGGATATTGGAGTCTCTGGGTAGAATGGGCCCCAAAACCTCATTCTAGCTATTAAGGCCCCTTTGTTACCCTTTATGAAGGGATGGAAGGTTTCGGGTTTAGACTTTCGGGTTCACGTTTTGCTTGAACAATTCGGCTAGGGTTTTGGGACTACACTTTTGTTCTGGAACCGAAAGGAAGACTAGTCTTGCTTGTCGAGGCTCTTGCATTATCCCTAAAGCCCGAGCCCGAACCCTAAACCCTAAGCCGATAGTTCTGAGTTTGAAGAGCTAGACTCGAAAGAGCTCGAGACTCTTAGCTAAAACCCCGGCACCCCGGAATCGGACAGAACTCGTGAAGCTTGGACGCAGATTCCCAACTATTGCCCATGGTACGTTTTTGTTTTAGACCCGTCCTTTTCTTGAACTCAAGATCCCAAAAGGGTCCTATATCGGTAGAATGCTAGGTTTCCCTAAACCCTAAACCCTAAACCCTTAAACCCTAAACCCTAAACCGTTAGGAATCACAAATTATTATGACTTAGGGAAGCATCCCCCACAACAGTACATAGGACCCTTTGGAGATGACCGAAAGGTAAAGGCCGCCCAAAATTATAACGTTCCTTGACTTAAGAGGGTCGCTGGGATCTGTACCATAACCCCAACACCCAGACCCTGAACATGCCCTAAAGCCCGAAGGCCCCATGGTAGTTCCTTTTTGGGGGGTTCATATATAGAATCCTATAAGGTAATCCCCAAAAGGGGCTACTTTGGGGCCCCATGGGTAAAGCCCCAAACCTGAAAAGCGTACTCCTGAAAACCTTAAAGCCCCAAACCTCTGAGCCTTAGGCCCGTGAAGCCTGCGTGAAGCCGCAACTGAACCCTGAGGGTCCGGGTTTAGGGTTTCGGAGACCCTTTCATGGCTGGTAAACAGACAAGCCACTTACAGCCTGAAAGACAAGGACCCTTCATCACAAGAAACCTAAAGAAACCATCATAGAAGAACAAAGCCTACAGGAAGCCAAGTATTTAGAACCCTATAAAAGATGACTCCTTGACTATCAGGGAAGCCTCTAGCTAGGTGGCCACGAGCTATAGCGCTCCTGGAGGAGATCTTGGGGATGTTAAGTTTACTTTGGGGCTTTCGATTTCGGACTGAAAATTTTGGGATGTGGGTTCAAAACTGAGGGTTCTTGAGTTTATCGAAGATTAGATTTTCTGACTGGGGCTTGGGAGTTGCAAATTCATCAGGTCAGAGCTCTCCTGGGATTCCATTTGCGGAGATTGGGCTCCTGGCTCAGGGTCTACTGGAATCCACGGCGTTTTGCAGAAAGGCTCCAGGAACCCACAGACTCCAATATCCCTTGATTAAGGAATATTTATTAAATCTTTTTTGGGATCCTATTATGATTTAAGGTATGTTCCTTAATCGAGGGACATTGCAGTCTCTGGATTTCCAGAACTTCTGTGAGCAGAAAGGCATTCTTAGGTCGGGGCCAAGTTCCGGAGTTTTGAGGGATGTGAGGGAGCTCGCTGGTGCTGGTCGTTGTTTCGGGTCCCAAAGTGTCCTATGTACTGTTACGGGGGATACTTCCCTAAGTCATAATAGTAATTCCTGATATGGAAACCTTACATTCTACTATATCGGTACATGGGACCCTTTGGGGGTTTAGGGCGGCTAAAAATCCGGCGTAGCAGCTTTCTGTAGGACTGCGTGGCGCGCGGCGTCGAGTTGGATGCAGTCCTCTTTGGCAAGGTGCCGTTGCTTTCTCTGCAGTAGTGACCCCAACAAGCCATCTTGGCTCTTACGGAAGATTCCTGAAAAATCATCGTAAGGAGAAAGAAGGCCAAACCCCCAGTTCATAAAACCCAACGCCCTTAAAACCCTGAACCCCAAATTCAATCCCAAACCCTAAACCCTAAACCCTAAATGGCCCAAACCCCCAGTTCACAAAGCCCAAAGCCCTTAAAACCCTGAACCCCAGATTCCGAACGGCAAGTCCGAAACCCCAAATCCGCAACCCCGGAGTCCCATACTCGGAGGATTCCTTTTAATAAGGGTGCTATAGGGTTCTATAATGGGGTTCCTTAAAGGGATCTATAGGGGTTCTATAATGGAGGATCATGGGACTAGTAAGTATGGTTAGAAGTACCTTACTTGGGGTAGTTATATGTATAGTTACACAAATAATGACCTTATAGTTACTAAGTCCCAGGATCCTTTAAGTAATATAGGAGCCTAAACAATTATATACCAATTTTGGTGGTTCCTTGTCATACAAGCCTAGTATAACTAGAATGTACAAATGTACCAAGACCGTCTTCTAATTATTGAGGCCCCTCCGTTGCCCCTGTAAACCGGTTGGGGAAGCCTCAGCTTCGTCCCTTGCGGATCAGGCGCTTCGTGACTGCGCCGCGGCCGAGGAGTCGGAACCTTGAAGAGCCTTTTTGGGTGGGTCTTCGATCTGGGAGTTTCCGAAGATTAGGGGTACCTTACTTTGGGGTCCTTTTAATAAGGTTCCTACTATTTAGGGTACTATGTTAGGGTCCCCTATTTTCGGAAACTGCCATGTGGGTGGTTGTCAAAATTATGGTCCCTTATTGGGTCCTTATTGTAATACTGCACCTAAGATTTAGGGTACCCAAAAAGGGACCATAATTTTGACAGCTACCCATCTGTCTATCTATCTCTGTGTGCGTGTACATACATTGACATACATACATACATCCACGTCACGCAGACTGCAGCGTACCCCGATGCGATTGTTCACGCTCCGGTACCAGCAAGTTCGGAGTCCCAAAGACCCGTTAACTGGGGTTGGCGGGAAAGCCAATCTTGAATTTCCAAGATCCATGATCGCTACATGATTTGAAAGTCTGAAGAATCTTGACCCCCATGTTTTGGATTCAGGGTTTGGGTTTAGGTTTCATGTGCCCACCACAGCCAAGCCCCATGCCTTTCAAGCCACCTTGACCAGCGCTGCGAGGTGGGAGGTCGCCATAGATCTGCCGCGAGCTCGGCGCAAACCCATAACAACTTAGGGTCTAAGATATGTTGTATTTCGGGTTTTGGATGTTTTGGCTTGGGGCCGTAAAAAGACTAGTATACACGAAAGTGGCCGACATCAGAAACAATCAGCCAGTATCTTCATGGATCTTCATCATTACCGTAATCGTGCAGAATATGCCATTGCTGTTGGTACGGCCTGCTAGTCCGAGGGGCAGTTGTGCCGGTCATGTCTATGATTTAGGAGATTCTGGTTCTATACCCCTGAACCCTACCTATAGTCTCCATTGTAGTTCCTTTTTTTGGTTTAACCAAATATATAGTTAGGATCCTATAAGGTAACCTCAAAAGGGAACTACAATGGAGACTATAGGTAAACTGAAGCTTGTCGGTGACAGGTGGGCCGCAGGCCCCAGCCCCCCTTGACACTCGGAGCCTTACGACTTTGATTGGAGGGCGCGCCAGGGCATAGCTATGATTACGATATTATCCTGTCGGGGCAGAGTTACATCCCCGTTGCTTACAGGAATGCTTGGAGCCTGGGGGACAAAAAAGCACATAAGCATAAGCATTTTATAGGGATATCCCTACCATAATGGGCTTCCGTATAAGGGGGTATATATGGGATATCCCTATCCTAATTTTTGCTTATGTGTTTTTTTGGGGGCTCTAGGAGCCTTGTCAAGTGCCAAGATCCTCCGAGCAAGGTTAAGCCCAAGCAGCGTCAGTAAGCGTAAGCACTGTAGACCTTACCTTCACGGACAAAAGCGGACGAACTACCTTAAAGCCCTAAACCTTCTAGAAGTTCAAAGACGCAGACGAACTACCCTCAACCATAAACCCTAAAGCCCCAAACTGCGTACGCCAGCCCTCTCCAAACCCAAAAGCCGAGGGGTTCTGTAGTTATACTGGCAATCCTTTTAGTGACGTGTTTCCGGAGCCGTCATAAGAATCCTGTTTTTAGGGTTTAGGGGAGTGCCCGGTGCAAAGAACCCTGAGAATGTGAAGAACTCCCCTAAACCCTAAACCCTACCCTTGTCAATAGAAGGAACTCGCTTTTCTTACGCCGTGCCATGTCAGGCTCCAGCAGATGCGGGCGTCCATGAAGGTCACTGCTCCCGCCCTGGCTTCTGCGATCACCTCCTGCAGAGGCCTTGAGTTAGGGACCCAAAAAGCACATAAGCATGAGCATTATATGGGGATATTCCTACCTTGTGGGCTTCCTTTAAGGGGGCTTATATGGGATATCCCTATCCTAATTTTTGCTTATGTGCTTTTTGGGGGCCCTACTTGTGTCATAGGCGGCCAAAAGGGGTTTTAGCCTATGGGGCTTTAGTAGGGATTAGGGTTCCCATGATAGGGTTCGTATTGAGGAATCCCTACCCCAAGAATCTTACACCCCCCTTGTGGCCTCCCATCATCGAGTTTGCTTTAGGTCTAGGGTTTGTGGGTGTTGGGTTTAGGAGTTTAGGAGTTTAGGGGTTTAGGGGTGTAGAGTTTAGGGGCTTGGGGGGTGTGGCGGTTTAGGGTTTAGGAGTTTAGCGTTTAGGAGTTAGCTCCAGGGTCATCTTGGAGTTGTTGTTCCATACAGTTGTGATGTGACATTCTGTATTCCGAAGCAAACCACGGTTTAGGATGTAGGGTTTAGGGTTTAGGGAGCCCTTTACCCAAAGCCCCCCGAACACGCATTCTCCAACTTGCAGGTGGCCAATGGGAAGCTGCCGTGTCCTCAGGTGCAGACTTGCCCATTCCAGGATCATGCTGATTTGTTAGGGGTTTAGGGGTGCAGGGTTTAGGGTCTAGGGATTTCGGATTTTGGGATTTTGATCTGATCCCGCACATCTTGGTTATATCGTCTTATCTGTTCGACTATAAACTGTTCCTCACCCTTCCCCTTGAACTTGATTCCAAGAAGAGTCCTTGAGCCTGCTGGCGCCAAGACGGAATGCGTGGGCTCATGTTGTTTCGGTTGTCCGAGCTTTGCCTTTGGAAAGAAATTTTGACAATCTAGATGATTGTGCAGACTATTTGGTCCGAACTTGTCAGCTGATTGAAACTTGGGTAAGGTTGCCACCGTGAGGATACCAGCCACAAGCTCACAAAGTTCCGAAGCACAGTGCTGCAGGGCTTGGGTGTCTGTGGATACGGCCAAGGACACATTCTTGCACACTGAAATCCAAGCGTAAAAGGAGGAACCCTTAATAAGGACCCCCAGGTATATATCCTTAGTATAACTATTATATACCCATGATACAGCCCATTATAGGGTAGGGGTCCCCATTAAGGGTCCCTCCTTGTCCCCTTTGATGAAACCCTCAACCTCAAGACCCATAGCATGAAACCCAATAGGCCTCAACCGAATCTTCCTGCAGCCCTTACCCTACCCGTCCCTATCCCTGCCCGACCCTACCCTACCTCACCCTAAACCCTAAACCCTAAACCCTAAACCCTAAACCCTACCCTCACCCGTACCTGAACTTACCCTACTCTAGCCCACCTTAGCCTACCCTACCCTAACCCCCCGCGTCTGAGCGACCCTTGGGCTTTTTCGGTATAGAGTACCCAGAGACTCCAACATCCCTTAATTAAGGAATATTCCTTAAATCATATTAGGGATCGTACCATAATTTAAGGAATATTCCTTAATGAAGGGATACTGGAGTCTTTGGGTAAGCCCCAAAACCTGACCCAGGCCCTCGCATTGAGAGCCTCTGCGTGGCGGATGCAGCTCAAGCTGGACCGGGGTTTAGGGTGTGGGCTGGGGGCAATTGCTGTAGGCGCCGAAATAAATACCTATACTATTTTGGGGGGCTCCTTATTATAACTATAGGACAATAGACCCAAAACCCTATTCTAATTATTAAGGCCCTTATTTTATGGGGGGGTAGGTTGGGCTAAACCTGTTGGGATCTGGGCCCTGATCCTCATCCCCGAGCACCCTTGCGATCTCTGAACGTCCAAGGCCCTAAACACCCCAGAGACTCCAATATCCCTTATAATTAAGGAATATTCCTTAAATCATATTAGGGATCGTACCATAAATCCTAAACCCTAAACCCTGTAAACCCCCCTAAACCCTAAACCCGCCTTAAATTATAGTAGGACCCCTAATATGATTTAAGGTATATTCCTTAATTAAGGGATATTGGAGTCTTTTGGGACCCTCAGCCCTAGACTCAGACCATAAATCCTCTTTGCGAACCTATGTATAAAGCCCTACTTAAAGGATCATGGGACTTAGTAAGTATGGTTGTAAGTACCTTAATTGGGGTTATAAGTAGTTATAAGTATAGTTACCCTAATAATAACCTTAGTTACTAAGTCCCATGATCCTTTAAGTAGAAGGACGTCCAGCTGTGGAATGCTCGGCCCCTGGATTCAGAGGAGTTCGTGTTGGGTGTAGGGCTAGCATCGTACTTCACCGGGTAAGGGATCTTCAGCCTGTTTGGATATGTACGATGCTACAACGATTTGTGTGCAGGGATGCAGCGTTGCAGACTACGTCGTGAGCAAAACTTTGATGTACGACGTGTCTCGGGGAAATCGGATGGCTGCTCTCACATATGTTAAACTTGGATTCTGAAGGCTGGCATTCTCAAAGGAAGCTGCCACATCTGCTTGATACCCACATACCACAGGAAGGCCCTTTTTCAAGAAGATGCTACAGAGAACCTGTAGAAGCTTCAAGGCCTAAATGGGTCGAAACACCCATTCCTGAAGGTAAACACCGTGCAGCTTCAGATGCGTGTTCGGAGCAGGCCAATCCCTAAAACGCCTTGAATGCCAAAGCCTGAGGCCTAAGAGCCAAAAGCCTGAACCCCTGAAGCCTTAAACCCGAACGCCCCAAATCCCTACCCTCACCCCCAGACCCAAAGCGTGCTCCAAGTCCGTCATCTACTCCTGCGCAACGGCCGGGAGAGCAAAGCCAGCGACCGAGGGCCTGGAGTGCTGCTGAATGTGGAGTAGGGCTCCGGGGCTTAGGATTTAGGAAGTAAGGAACCCAGAAAGCCTAGATGGTTTGCTTGGGTTGGGGTTTAGGGCTCAGGACTTAAGCCATGTTTTGTACTGGTTGTTGCAGACAACGATCCCCACGTAAACCTTGCAACTCTAAACCCTCAACCCTTACACCCTAAACCCTATAAGCCGAAGAGATCCAATGAAGATCCAGGCCCCCGAAAGTGCCCAAGTCATGCGGTTTTTATAAGGATATCTTGAGCTACGACAGCTTACTTTGTTTGTAATGCCCCCTGTTCAGCACCTACAAAACAGTATGTTCTGATAGTTTTAGGCTTATATAAGGTGCCTAGAAGTGAGATAAGGTTAGTGAGGGTCTGTAAGGTTTCGATGAGGTTTCTGTAAGGGTTCCTTCAGGGTTCTGCATGGCTTAGAGTTTAGGGATGTCAATTATGATCCTCTGAGCATCAAGCCATGATCTTCGGATTGCAGTCCCGAGGCCCACAGTATCCTAGTATTAACTTAGAAGCTGAGTGGATATAAACTTCTTGGGATAAATTTAACCACTATAAAACTGAGAGTGCACATTTTTGGGGGATTATGAACTCAGCAACTAAGTTAATTAATGGCCAAGACTCGTGGCAGGTAGCGCACTACTTCTAAGTGGTGCTTTGTATCTGCCTTCCATCATCTCATGCCGTCTGCACTGCCAGGCATGCGAAGGCGCTGCTCTCTGACATGAAGGCGCAGACTTTTCAATGGGGTTTAGGGTTTGGGGCTGTGAACTTGGAGGCCTGCACCATAAACATGAAGCCGCAATCCCCCTCGAACCCGAAGCCCTAAATTAGGCTGGCAGCTCCGAACATTGCAACCCCCCCTCCCCCCCCCGCGCTCAGGCTCATCTCACATCATACTACGCTTTAGGGCTGCATCCACCTTCGAGGCGTTCTTCCCTCCTCCAGAAACGAGTGGCTGCTTTTGCTCAGAGCTTGCTTGGATCCTAATCCCTGAACTCTGTGTTTGTTTGTTTATATACCAAACGACAGTCTTGAAAGCACGTTCCGTCGAAATAGCGTGTGACCATCACAACCGCTTGCCCTGAAACCTTCGATTTAATCTTGGATTGATTGAATACTCGCAGCCCATCTCTTGCAGCGACGTTGATGTTGCACCGAAGCTAGGCCTTATTAAAACCTGATTACAGAGCCACAAGTCCTTCGAAGCAAATTCCTGAACCCCGCCCCAAGCCTGCCTTACTTTGGGGTCCATATATGAGGAGCCTACTGTTTAGGGTACTAGATTCGGGTCCCTAATTTTCGGAAACTCCCAAACTAGAACCCTTGCAGCTTTTTTTAGGGTACTTAGGGTACTAGATTCGGGTCCCCTAATTTAAAGGAACCCCCCCCCCCCCCCAGACCCTCAAGTCAACCCGGGAGCCGAGCAGCTTCAGGCTCCGAAATCTGAAACTCCTGATCCATTCAATCCACTAATGTACAGTAGAAGCCAGAAAGTTGGAACATCATTGGCCTCATGCCCTAAAGGTAAAGTATAAGGGATCCTAGCACTAATCCTCCTAAAGTCATGTTCCAACTTTCTGGCTTCCACTAATGCAGGAACCTGATTCAGAAAACTACTGTAGGAAGCTGATTAAGGAAACTACTGTAGGAAGCTGATTAAGAAAACTACTGTAGGATGCTGATTAAGGAAACTACTGTAGGAACCTGATTAAGAAACCCTGGCCCCACAATCCCCTAAACCCTAAACCCTAAAATCCCCTAAACCCTAAACCCTGTCTTTAAACCCTAAATTCATTAGGCAAAAAAGCTGGAGCCGACAGTGGAGTGCTACAACAACTGCCTGTTAGCGATCTCGCAGGCCCGGGGTCTGATCTCCTTAGTAGCTGAGTGGATACACTTTACACTTTTTTGGGGATAGTACTACTCACTATCAAACTAAAAGTGTAAACTTTTTGGGGCTTATGAACTCAGAATCTAAGGAACAATTTTTCATTGTTGGTTACTAAAGGTCCTAAGAAACTGCTTTGTTTTGCTACGGGTCTGATCTCGTATCGGGTTCATGATGCTTTATGGCTTATATACTGGGCCCTTCGGTTTGGGGTTGCCGGGCTTGTGGGAGCAGGTTTGAATCTCAAGCTTGTCTCAAAGGGGAAAAGGGGTTTAGGGTTGGGGTTCAGGGTTCAAGGGTTTAGGGTTTAGGGGTTTACTAGTTTATCAGGGTTTGCGGTTTAAGACAAAGCCGTTAGTCTAAGCGGCCCTCAGCAAGGGCCGCTAACCCACTCCCCTGTTAGAATGCATGGCCTTCCCCTGATCTCCAACACTCACGAAACTTTCAGCACTCCTTGTGCTTCTACCTACGTTTCTGAGCAGTACCCTTTTGCCCTTTTTGCTTTAGGGTTCCTTTATTAAAACCGACTAGTCGAAGCAGGGTACCCTTATTATAGGGGCCTACCCAGGAACCTAGTTACTACGGAGCCGGGAATCCCAGATCCTAAGGCCGATGTCGGTGCTAAAGAGGTTCCAGGTTTCCCAGGATCGTCTAAGATTTCACTTACATTCCATTACTGAAGGAGTGGAAGGCTTGCATGCGGAGGTATGAGTAGTTAGACGTAATTGGCAAGACTGCCCCCTTCTCGTCCATATGTCGCTCTTCTAGAGCATGCCCCGAAACCCGATTGAGCTTCCGCAAAGCCCCTTGATTCACGTTCTCGAGAAACCTTAAACCCTAAACCCTAAAACCCTAAACCCTAAAGCCCTAAACCCTAAACCTCTGCAGTCGTCATCTTCCTCCACCGCCGCCAAGCGCTGGCTCACGAAGATGGAGCAGGCGGATCCTCCAAATGGGGTCTTGTTAGGGGCACTTAGAAATACTGTTAAATATTTGGTTACTATAATACCTAAGAAACAGCTAATATTACAATTGTTGCTAGGGTTCTAAGTTCAGTATAGTTAAGTCGTGCCTATAGTCTCCATTGTAGTTCCTTTTTGGGGTTACCTTATAGGATCCTAACTCCTAACTATATATTTGGTTAAGCCAAAAAAGGAACTACAATGGAGACTATAGGTGGCTCATAGTACAGATCTTTAGTAGGGGCTCTGCAGTAGCGAAGCTGAACTACATGCGGGTGTTGGTCCAGGGTTTTCTGGTGATCGGCCTAGCGCCCCGCCTTAAGCCCGAACTGAGTAACTGAGTAGGTAACCTTTCAACTTTTGTTGAACATGCACAATCCTGCCCGAGATGCAAAGATAATATTTTTACACCAGCGAGCTCAGCAACCAGGCGAAGAAAGTAAGGTTGCACAAAATTGAAGCTTACACGTCGCCGTGCGAGCAGGATGGAGTTGATCCAACTACTGTGACGGCCTCAGATAGCTTCGGATCTTGTCAACCCTAAACCCTACACCCTAAACCCTAAACCCCGACTTGTTTTGAGCCGGACGGTCGTTCCTTGATTCTTGGATTATGTGCTCTGAGGAACCAGTGCTGCCACGGGAAATTGGCGGCCCAACCCGAACAGTGCGTTGTTCGTCAAAGGTCTCACTTAGAAGCTGCCCCCTGTAATAGTGAATATCAGGAGTATATTAGGGCTCTATTATATTCCTATTATACCACAATTACAGGGTGGGGGCAGCTTCTAAGGTCTCACCAAGCAACCGGAACTGTGCCAATGTATGTTTGTCTCTGAGCCCTACGGCATCGTGAGCCTCGTGTCCAAGGGTAAAAGGAGGGACCCTTAATAAGGGCCCCTAGGTATTATACCCTTAATATGGCTATTATATACCCGTTATATAGCCCATTATAGGGTAGTAGGGTTCCCATATTAGGGGTCCCTCCTTTTCCCCTACTAAACTTGCTAAACCCTAAACCCTTATAGATCCCTTTAAAGGAACCCTAAGAGCCCTAAATTAGGGTCCCTCCTTTTCCCCTTTGATTGTGTGGGTTTTGAGTGCAGACCCTACTGTGTGGGAGGCTGCTGTATCGAGGCCTGAGCACCAAGCTTGATTCTTTTTTACCCTAAACCCCAAACCAGCCCCTAAACCCTAAACCCTAAAGATGATTCTTCTTATGGGTACTTAGAAATATTTTGAGTTTTTTGTTATTATCATCCCTAAGACACAGCAAAAACTATTTTTTGTTGCTAGGGTTCCAAGTTCAGTATAGTCTTTTTTGCCCTAAACCCCAAACCAGCCTTCTAGAAAGCCCGCCGATCAAGCAGAATCGCGGCTGAGGTGACGATGAACATGCTTGCAACTCGGCTGCCATCGAGCCCGGCATTCCCTTAGTGCAAGCCTACATAACCAACTCCTATCCCCAAAAAGTTCCAGAGCACAAACTGGCTGCCCGTATCCTTAATCCTGACCCAGAGAGCCCAATACCCCTTAATTAAGGAAGATACCTTAAATTGCGGAGGCCTTAATACTATGATTTAAGGTATATTCCTTAATTAAGGGGTACTGGGATCTCGGGGGAACGCAAACCAAAGAGGAGAAACGTGAAGCCCCTACCACCAGGACGATTTGGTTTTTGGGTTGCGGGTCCCAAACCCTAAACCCTAAACCCTAGTTTAGGGTTTAGGGTCCTGAACCCTAAACCCTACTTCAGGGTTTAGGGTGTAGGGACAAGAGAACCCTGAAGCCCCGACCACCAGGGCTCAAAAGTCCGAGCCTCCAGCTTCCTCGGACAGCTGCCCCAACTCCCAAGTCTTCAATACTAAAGCTGGAGTTGGTATGTCCTCATTGCCTGTTCGTTTTGAGGCCGAAGAGGGGGCGTGTAAAGGTACAGTGGAGACGCTGTCTCCGAGACGTAGCAATGCAACTGCCCGAGCCATTCAAGCACGACGAGGCATACCCCTCTCGAATATGGGGGTTGAAGCCTCTATCTCCGTTTGTGACACTTGTACGGATGATTATTGGCCAGGTTCGCAGCAACTAGTTTTGGTCCGGCATTGTACAACGAACATGATCCACGGCCGTTATGAGCTTCGCCCATACAAGCTAATGTGGTTCCGTACCTCTAAGTTGTCGTCTGAATGCGAACGAGCTGCATGACGAACATGGAAACATGAGAATAGCCCCGAAGCACAGCAGAGCCGATGGAACACCGATGCGGATCTAATTGCAGGATGTTATGTCTAGGAAGTGTGGGATGGATGTGATGTAAGCCTTTCCGTTTCTCATACCCGCAGCTATTACACTCCTACCACGGATCCTGAGCAACATTTTGTACAGGTCCCGAGGCGTTGGCGTGATGGGGTGTTGTCCTTAGGCTGCGGTACTCCTTGTCTTTCGGCTGGCATCGTTTATGCTGCATGTGTGTGCCGCCGCGCTTGCGATTGTCTGTGGTATGAACCCTGCTCCGTGAGCGTCGTCTCACAGTGGTAAGGTGCAGGAAGTGGTCTGCGTCTCGGATATTGTTGTGCATCTTGCGCAAGGTGTGTCATTTGTTCCGTTAGCCTGTGCGCATTTATTCAAGCATTCTCCCGTGCACATGTGTCTAGACAGGTGGCGGAGGAGTGGAGGAGCTCCAAGCTCGACCATCGCCGCTACGCGCGGTGTACTGCTCAGATGCTGTGTTTTGTCTTATGGCGAGGTAGCGTCTACTTGCGTGCGAAGTGTGAATGATAGCACAAGGTGGAAACGTCCTGTCAGCGGCCGGGCCAAGCGAGCGCGGCCCTTGGCAAGGGTGTCAAACTTTGTTCTCCGGGGGGGGGGGGGGGGGGCTTGTCTTGCGGCGCGAGCCTAACTGCGAGGCAGCCGACACCGGGGCACCACTTCGATACCGAGGCGAAGCCCATAGATCGTGCATCTTAAGATTGGGGAATCGCATCGAGACCAAAGCAACGCCGGCAAATCGTGTATATTGTCGCTGGGTCGCCACTTCGAGATCAAAGCAATGGCGACAGAACGTGTAGCTTTGTTCTGGGGCTTTCGAGGTGTCCTCTTATACCGATGCTGGATGCAGGTTCGGGGGCTGTCCCAGTCCCTACGACGCCGACTACGGTCCTTGGCTCATGCTTGGGCGGTGTGCATCTTGATTCTGATACTATACCGGGATCGTGTCTGGGAGTTAGCATTTGTGACACCATTCCTGACATTCTGATTCGAGAGCAATGTCTGAACGCGGCCGGGGTGCTCAGGGCTGTGTTGGAGCTCCACACGCATTTGGCTTGGCTACTGACCGTCCTGGTTCTGTGGCTTGGCTTGCTGGTACTTGCGTCGTTGGGCCCGACTACGTGCGCCTCTTACGTACCGGCGATCGCCTGTCGTCCTGCGGCATCTCATACATGCCTCTTCTGTCTCTTTTAGTGAACCTATTATATCAACCCCTGGTTCGTTCGCCTTGCCCTCCATGTTTTAGGGAGATTTTCCTCGGTGCCTTCCCAAGTGATGCTTGGACAACGGCTACAGGAGGCTCGGTCCTAGGTTCTGTGTTGCCGATCGACGCATACGGCCAACGGCAGTGTGTATTGCCTGGCTTCCAGGTACACCCGCGACGGACCGCATCGGATGACCGGCTCTCATTCCTGTTGGAACACTGCGTGCGTCCATGTGTGTGGGTGTACGTGTGTGCGTGTGTGCGTGTGTGCGTGTGTGCGTGTGTGCGTGTGTGCGTGTGTGCGTGTGTGCGTGTGTGCGTGTGTGCGTGTGTGCGTGTGTGCGTGTGTGCTGTGCGTGTGTGCGTGTGTGCGTGTGTGCGTGTGTGCGTGTGTGTGTGTGGGTGTGTGGTGTGTGTGTGTGTGTGTGTGTGTGTGTGTGTGTGTGTGTGTGTGTGTGTGTGTGTGTGTGTGTGTGTGTGTGTGTGTGTGTGTGTGTGTGTGTGTGTGGTGTGTGTGTGTGTGTGTGTGGTGTGTGTGTGTGTGTGTGTGTGTGTGTGTGTGTGTGTGTGTGTGTGTGTGTGTGTGTGTGTGTGTGTGTGTGTGTGTGTGTGTGTGTGTGTGTGTGTGTGTGTGTGTGTGTGTGTGTGTGTGTGTGTGTGTGTGTGTGTGTGTGTGTGTGTGTGTGCGTGGTGCGGGTGCGGGTGCGGGTGCGGGTGCGGGTGCGGGTGCGGGTGCGGGTGCGGGTGCGGGTGCGGGTGCGGGTGCGGGTGTGCGGTGTGCGTGTGTGTGTGTGTGTGTGTGTGTGTGTGTGTGTGTGTGTGTGTGTGTGTGTGTGTGTGTGTGTGTGTGTGTGTGTGTGTGTGTGTGTGTGTGTGTGTGTGTGTGTGTGTGTGTGTGTGTGTGTGTGTGTGTGTGTGTGTGTGTGTGTGTGTGTGTGTGTGTGTGTGTGTGTGTGTGTGTGTGTGTGTGTGTGTGTGTGTGTGTGTGTGTGTGTGTGTGTGTGTGTGTGTGTGTGTGTGTGTGTGTGTGTGCGTGTGTATGTGTATGTGTGTGTATGTGTGTGCCTATGACCTATGAATGTGCTCGGCGTAAGTGTGGGGCGTGCGCACCAGGCCAAATTCATGGCCCGCAACAGTCGGCAGGGTCGGCGGCCTGCACCCGGATTGCATGCCATTGCCGCATCTGTAATCTCGCCGTGGCAGGTGCTGCTAAGCCTGCAGGGGACGAGGAGGCAGCCGTGGATGTACGGACGAGTGCAAGGCGGGCCGCGACAGGTCCGACACCGCTACGCACATGGTGTGCGGGGCCGTGCGCGTACCTCAGTTCGCTCTGGGAACTGGTGTGCCTAGCGGGTTGTGTTCAGAGAGCGGCCTCGTTCATTTACAGGGCAGGGCTTCTTTGCTTCGTCGAAATGTGCAGAGTATCCAGCATCAAAGTTGAGGACTACATCGTGGGAGGGTCTGCGGGATGGAGGGTTGGTGCGTGTCAGTTTAGTGATCGAAGCCCGCAAGACTAAGATATTGGGAGGGAGGGGGGAGACTGACTAAAAGCGTCATACACGTCCTTCATGGTGATTGCAAGCGACTCCGATGCTCCAATGTTAGTCTTCGAGTGTCTACTGGATCTAAGAACGTGTGTTGCTCGTCATACCTCTGGTTGCTGCGTGATCCGAGGCTATAAAGGTGGGAAAGCGGAGCAGTAGCAAGAGTCCATTTTCGCTCGTACATCGGTAGAGTCTTCTTGAGCTTATGTTTTGTTGTGTGCAAGGTGTCGCATCGGGGCACCAACTCGCAGGCGAGGGAATGTAGTGGTGCTGGTGTGTGCAGCCGCGATGCTGGCAGTGTCGAGTGCTATATGCGGTTTGTAAGGTGACGGGCACTGGATTCGTTCTGAGCCGCCGCGTCGGGCCCTCGGGTCTATCGCGTACGTGTACCCTGCGTTGCCTCTGTTATGGTGGCAAGCAAATATCGGAGGATGCTGTGGTGTCTGCTAGAGGCATTTCCTTGCTCATGAATCCATTCAACCAATCAGGAACGGAATCGGCTCCAACATGCCCTGACGGGGAACACCGCGCCGCATTCTCATTCGGTGACCCTTCTCCTTCGCCGCTGTTCAGTGTTCCAGTATATGATACGTGGCTCATCAGCAGGACTCTGACCTGCTCCAGGGGAGGGTCACCGCTGGGTCATGGGGTAACCTGAGGTCACCGGGCCGGGACATCGTTCGGGGCCTTCACGCGCGGGGCGCCCGTCGTGGTATGCACGTTCATCATCGGACCTGCAGCCCTAAACCCCTAAACCCTCAAACCCCTAAACCCCCAAACCCTAAACCCTCAAACCCTAAACCCTCAAACCCCTAAGCCCTAAACCCCAAAACCCTCAAACCCCTAAACCCTAACCCCTAAACACTAAACCCTCAAGCCCTTAAACCCTAACCCTAAACACTAAACCCCTAAACCCTAAACACTAAACCCTTAAACCCCGAAACCCTAAACCCCTAAACCCCTAAACTCGCCGTGGCCGAAGGCAAGTGCTGGATCTTGGGAGGAGGCAGCTTGTGGAGCTTCACCTGAACCCTGAAGAACCTACCTTTTTAAGGACTCATATAAGGAAATCATAATAGGGAACCTTACAAAGCTAGGTTCTTCAGGGTTAAGGCAGGGACTAAGTCTGAAAAACCCTGGAGTTTTAGGCTTTACCTCCAGAAGCGGCCCGTGTGTTTAGGGCTTAGGGGTTTATAGGGTTTATAATAGGGTTTAAGGTAATTTCGGATGCAGCATTGCAGATTGCAGGTTAACAACTTCAGTTGCGGAAAAAGGGTTTATGGTGTTAGGGTTTGGCCCCCTAATTACTTCCTTCCCTTTGGTGTAGGGTTTACGAATAAGGCCTGCGTCAACCCCTGAGAACCCCCTACTCAAAGGATCATTGGACTTAGCAACTATAAGGTTATGATTAGGGCAACTATACCAATAGCTACCCATAACCCCATTTAACAATGGAGACTATGGGTAGTAACCATACTCGCCAAGTCTCATGATCTCCCAAAGTAGTACTAATAACCATACTTACTAAGTCCCATGATCTCCCAAGTAAACCCTAAACCCTTATAGTACCCCTATACGTCCTTTTAAGGGATCCCCAAAGTAGCCCCGATCAGGCGCCTTGGCAAGATGTGCGGTTGAAGCCCACTGATCGACAAATGTACCCGCAGAGGAGCAATCCTTGGAGGATCATGGGACCTAGTAAGGTTCCTTAAAGGGCTCCTTAAAGGGACCTATAGGGTTCCTTATAAAGGGATCTATAGGGTTTGGGGTTTAGGGTCCACTTGGGAGGATCATGGGACTTAGTAGGTAGGGTTATAAGTACCCTAATTGGGGTCATAAGCAGCTATAAGTATAGCTACCCTAGTAGTAACCTTAGTTACTAAGTCCCATGATCCTTTAAGTTATGTTACCTTGCAGTAACCCTTAAAGGAGCCTTAAAGGATCCCAACCCTTAAGGGCTAAGTATCAGGGACCATAGACCCTCCGAACCCCATGGCTTTGATCATACTCCGCTGCAACCCTGCAGGCCCTTGTAGGGTTTTGAGTTTAGGCTTTGGGGGTTTAGGGTCTTAGGGTTGAGGGGTCTAGGGGTTTAGGGTTTTAGGGTTTAGGGGTATAGGGGCTTAAGGGTTTAGGGTTTAGGTCAAGTTTAGAATCTTTTAAGGTTTAGGCCCAAAGTTGAGGCGTAGCCCATGAAAAACAGAACCCTCTGAACTTTGAATACTGGGCTATGATCCAGCTAACTCCTACGCCCTGAAAGATCTTCTCGGCCCACAAGCCCGAACTTAACCCATAAACCCAACAACCCCTAAACCCAAAACCCTAAACCCCCAGACTCAAAACCCCAACCTTCAACCCCTAAACTCAAAACCGCAACCCTAAACCCCTGAAGCCCCAAATCCTAAACCCCAAAAATTCAAGACCCCAAACCCTAAACCCCTAAAGCCCCAAACCCTAAACCCCTAAACTCAATTTCTGAGCGCGAAAGAGGCTTGCACCCAGAGGCTCCAGGGAAAATACCTTAAATTATAGCAGGCGCTCTACTGTTGATGATATAAATCCTGCATTACCCATAATGAGGAATATACCATAATTCCCATAGTTTAGGGCCCTGAAGGTAATGCAGGATTTATATCATCAACCGTAGTATGATTTAAGGAATAGTCCTTAATTATAAGGGATATTGAAATCCCCTAGACCCTAACCCCCAGATCCCTTATAGATCCCTTTAAGGAGCCCATTCCTAAGTTAAGGGATATTGGAGTCTCTGGGTACCCTAAACCTTAAACCCTATAGATCCCTTAAAGGAACCCTTAAGGAGCCGTTAAGTATCCCTTAAAGGAGCCCTTAAAGGAGCCCTTAAGTAGCCCTTAAAGGAGCCCTTAAAGGAGCCCTTAAGGAGCCCTTAAGTATCCCTTAAAGGAACCCTTAAGGAGCCCTTAAGTATCCCTTAAAGGAGCCCTTAAGGAGCCCTTAAGTATCCCTTAAAGGAGCCCTTAAAGGAGCCCTCGGAGTCTCTGGGCAGGCCTTGGCCTTCGTCGAAGGCCAGCGCCAGAAGGACCTCCTCCCCTCACAGGACCAGATGATGTCCGCTGAAAAGAGTAGGTTGGGGGTTTAGGGTTTAGGAATTTGGTGTTTTCAGGGTTTAGGGCTTTTGGGGTTTAGGGTTGGGGGTTTAGGGGTTTGGGTGGTTTGGGGGTTTCAGAGTTGAGGGCTTTAGGGGATTAATTAGGGTTGAGGGTTGGGGGTTTAGTGTTTACCCAGGCTTTAGGGTTTTCAGGATTTAGGGTTTAGGGGTTCAGGGATCTCGGGGTGAGGAGTTTGGGGTTTAGTCTCGGGGGCCATCGAGACTGGGGCTTCCAGAGTTAAAGGGCTTAGGGTCGGAAGTTTGGAGGTTTAGTCAAAGGGGAAAAGGAGGGACCCTTAATAAGGACCCCTAGGTATATACCCTTAATATAGCTATCATATACCCATTATATAGCCCATTATAGGCTATAGGGGTCCCCATTAAGGGTCCCTCCTTTTCCCCTTTGATTTAGGGACAGGGCCTTTGGGTTCGAAGCCTCAAAATTTGTAGGACATTTTTCTCAGGTCCCTTTAAGGGAGCCCCTATATTATACGGCGCCTCGAGAGAGCCCTTTTTAAAGGAACCGTGTAGAAGCAGAAACCTAGAAAACTTGAACCTGAAAGCTCCAGGCTCAAGGCATATGGGTGGTTGTCAAAATTATGGTTCCTTTTTGGGTCCTTATTATATTACGGCGCTTAATATTTACTTGACAGCTACCCATATGCTCGTAGAGTTGGTTCTGCAGAAGGTCAAAGGGGAAAAGGAGGGACCCTAATATGGGGACCCCATGGGACCCCTAAACCCTATAATGGGCTATATATGGGTATATAATAGCTATATTAAGTGTATAGTGTATATACCTAGGGGTTCTTATTAAGGGTCCCTCCTCTTTTACCCTTGGAGAAGGGCTCAAAAGTAAACCCCTAAACCCCTAGGGTTGTAATTTTTAGGCTTTAGGGTAAACCACTAAACCGCTAAACCCTAAACCCTGTTCCTTCAAGTCGCAACCATGGAACCATTAGACCCTGAACACCCAAATAACACTAAAACCCCGCAGAACCCGAAGCTGATCCTAACCCTAAACCCTAAACCCTAAGCCCTTAACCCTAAACCCTAAATCCTAACCCTAAACCCCAAACCCTAAACCCTAAACTAACGCTCCCTCTGTCAGATCACCTACGGCGCACTGATCGGGACCTGCAAAGCTTCGAGGCACTATGCCCGGAGTCCTCTTCTGTAGCGGTAGGTTTTAGGGTTTAGGGTTTAGGGTACTGTAGCGTTCTTGGTTGTTCTTTGAGGGGGGATTCCGCGTGTCTTCTCAGGGTGTTTCATTGGTTCAGGGGTTGCGTTATTTCGGATCCCCGTTTCTGCTTGGGTTTTCGCACTTCGAGCTTTTCGTTTGGATCATGTCTCTCCGAGGTTATGGGCTCGAATACTTGGAGGTTCATGGGTAGTTATAAGTAGGGCTCCTTTAAAGGGATCTATAGGGTTATAGGGTGTAGGGTATAGGATTATAGGGTTTAGGGTAGTTATAAGTAGGGTTATAAGTAGGGTAGCTATACTTATAACCTATATTACGGGACTTCTAACCCTACTTATAGCTACCCCTGAACCTCCAAATAGATGTAGACCGTAGATCTACGCTTAGGGTTCACATTTGCCGAGGTGTTGAGTTGTCATCTGTTGGCGTTGTGCCAAAGAAGCTCGGGCTATGGGTTCTACAGGGTTTGGTTTTAGGGTTTATGGTTCAGGTAGGGATTCAAACTAGGGGCCTTAATACTTACCAATACTGTTGCGGGGGTTCCTACATATAGTGATACTAAAGGGGCCAAAAACACTAGTCCAATAATTAAGGCCCCTACAGAGTCTGGGGATGTTGCAGTGGAGCTTTGAGCAACGCATCAACCACGTACTAGGCTCCTCAGTAGTACCCTTTTGCCATTTTTGTTTTAGGGTCCCCTTTTTAAATATCGAATAGTAGGAAAAAGGGTACCCTTATTAAAGCCTTGTTATAAGAATACTCGGATACTCAGGGGCCTGGACGATTGCTCTTCAAGGCGAGTTGCGCCCTAGTAGTAGAGTAGGTAGCCTTTAACCTTCTTTGGGTAGTATAGTCCCTATATAATCCCTATATAACCGAAAAGGTTACCCTTTAGTTCCCCATGACCGACAAGTAGGCGCTTCCTGGGTAGTGGATTGGGGTCCCCGGCCAGATTGCTTTGCTGCCTTCTTGGCCAATGTGGAAGTTTCCGAAAATTAAGGGTACCGTATTTTAGGGTGTTATAATAGGGATGCTACGATTTAGAGTACCATACTAGATTAGGGGTACCGTTTTTTGGGGTGCTATAATAGGGATTCTACTATTTAGAGTACCCTGGGAGGGTCCCCTGTTTTCGGAAACTCCCATATGCGTCTGGATTTTCAATTTCCGGCTTCGGCGCTACAGCTACCAAGCACCTGAAGTTTTAAAGACGAAGACAAATTTTAAATATGATTATCCTAAACCCTTTATGGTAAATTATAAGGTATCCTAACATGAAGCCATATTCCAACTTTCTGGGGTTCCCTTTAAAGATGAAGACATAAAGTGTAAACAGGATCAATCCCTCAGCCCAAAGGCAGGGGCCTGCTTGGCCAATATGGGAGTTTCCGAAAATTAGGGGTAACGTATTTTAAATTTTGGTGTCGTTATAATACCCAAAGGCAGCGTGGGGTTGAAGACACCACGAGTTCGGGAGCTGAACTGCAGTCCGCCCACTTATATCGAATACAAGGCGCACGCCTCAAAAGCCTGAGTCACGGCCACCCTGAATCGCACAATCCAAAAAAACACTAAACCCCGCAACCCGAACTTGTGGTGGAGTGTTCATGTGTTTAGGGTTTAGGGTAATATTTTCTAACCCTAAACTGAAACCCCCCAAAATCCCTAAACCCACTAAGCCCTTCTATGCCCGCCTGGTTTGCAGAAGCTGGCCTGCCGCATTGGCATTCCTCGAGGCGGGCCTAGTAGCATCTTGGGCTCCTTGGAACCTCCCAGAGATTCCAACGGTGGATGATGTAAATCCTGGGGTTCCTTTAAAGGGATATCTATAAGGGGTACCTCTAATCAGCTCCTTGAAGGGATCTATGGGGTTTTAGGGTTTAGGGTTTAGGAATGGTTATATGGGCTCATAAGGGTGTAGGGTTCAGGGCTTAGATGGGTTTAGGCTTTGGGGTTTAGGGTCTATTTCTAACGGTGGATGATATAAATCCTGCATTACCCATAATAACAAGGAAAATACCATAACTCCCATAGTTTAGGGTCCTGATAAAGGTAATGCAGGATTTATATCATGAACCGACTGTCCCTTCATTAAGGAATATTCCTTTCATGATAGTAGGGTAGGGACGATTTTGGGAATTTAGGGGTTTAGGCTGAAGGTCCAGGGCTCTCTGTATGGCTCAAATTCCTAGAACGCACCCTCCGAAACCACAACTACCCTTACAGTGCTCAGAGACATCCCGTACCCTGACTTGTACAAGCCTTCGACCCTCAACTCCACATGACATGTGCTAGATTCCTGAGCAGTTCCTGAGTAGTATCCTTTTGCCCCTTTATTGGTTTGGGGTTTCCTTATTAAAGCCGATTAGTAGGGCAAAGCGTACCCGTATTGTAAAGGGAACCCATAGGGGAGTTGGGTTGACTGCATTTGGGGCGCGTGGGAACGTCTTCACTGCATTTGGGGCGCGTGGGCGTTTCAGCAGGGAGTTTCCAAAAATTAGGGGTCCCTTCTTTTGGGGTCATTATAATAAGGATCCTACTATTTAGGGTACTAGATTAGGGTCCCCTATTTTCGGAAACTCCCATATAGACTCTATAGTACTTATATCAGATCCCTTTAAGGATCCCCATACACCCTTATCGAACCCATTCAAGACAACCCTACACACGCCTATCGAACCCTTTTAAAGGAACCCTATACATTCCTATAGAACCATTTTAAAGGAAACCTGGTCCCAAACTCACATGACGCGTGCTTCGGAGGATATGCTGGCCCAGCCGTCTCTGACTCCCAGCGTCGCGACCTCATCTTTCTGGGACTTGCGTGGTGAGTGCGGGTCAGCTTCAACCTTGAGCCGTAAGCCGTAAACCCTAAACCTAAATCCCTACACCCTACTGCCGGATTGAAGCCTACACTTTAAGACCCAAACCCCCAAACCCTAAGTCGCAAGCCCCGAGCTTTCTCTCGCCAAAGGAAGGTACTTGGAGGATCATGGTAAGTATGGCTATAAGCACCGAAATTGGGGCTATAAGTATTGATAAGTAGTAAGTCAAAAAGTTGACTTGCTTTTCATAATCCCCACCTCAATTTTGTGTACTTCTCGTTCTGTGTTGGTTGTTTTGTAACAGGGAGAGAGAGAGAGAGAGAGAGAGAGAGAGAGAGAGAGAGAGAGAGAGAGAGAGAGAGAGAGAGAGAGAGAGAGAGAGAGAGAGAGAGAGAGAGAGATAGAGAGAGAAACCCCCGAGCAAAGCAAAGCAAAGATAGAGAGAGAGAGAGAGAGAGAGAGAGAGAAAATGCAGCTTCTACGACCGCTTCAGCAGTGCAGAAAGAGAGAAACTGCAGCTGCTACGACCGCTTTGGCAGAGCAGCGAGACAGAGAGAGAGAGAGAGAGAAACTGCGGCTAGTACGACCGCTTCAGCAGTGCCGAGAGAGAGAGAGAGAGAGAGAGAGAGAGACAGAGAGAGAGAGAGAGAGAGAGCTTGTGATGCTACTGTACTACGACGACCGACCCACCGCAGTAGTCAATCCCGGCCGCCCGGGCCTGCAATCCATCAGGGGGGGGGCCGGGTTATGAAACGAAGTCAACTTTTTTTTGCCCTAATCATAGTTACACTAATCATAACCTTAGTTACTGAGTCCAATATTTGGAAGGTCTGGGTACCCTAAACCCTATAGATCCCGTAGATAAGCCCTTAAGGATCCCTTATATAAAGGAACCCTTAAGGGATATTGGAAGGTCTGGGTAGCAGTCGACTTCAAGACGCCGAACTCCGCCCTTTCGAGGTCACGGCCTTCAACATCGCCATCTCTGTCTGCGAGAGCTGCGACCAGCCACCCGGCTTAGTCGATCCGAGGGTTGCGGGTTTTTAGGATTCAGGGTTTAGGGTTTCAAGATGTAGGGTTTAGGGCTTAGTGTGCATGGGGGCCTAGAGGGCATAAGGCTTGGGGTTGGAAAGGTATAGGGGTGTAGGGTTTCTGGTGCGTTTACAATGTAGGCTTCAGCGGTGTCAGGTTGTTCGGGTCTGGGGGGGGGGGGGGGGCTTCAATGTTTGGGGACGTGAGGCTTTTGTTTGCATTACCATCCAGAAAGGACCCTGATCCCCAAACCCCGACTCCTGCAAAGCGACCGTGAAACTTTAGAGCTACTGCCCTAAGCTTTAGACTCCTACCCTCACGCCCAAAAACCGAAGCAATAAATATCATACACCAGGAAAAACCCGAAGCCCCGGAAGCTTAAAGACGGAAAGCAGGCATGAACCTTTCGGGGGGGGGGGGGGGGGGGGGGGGGGGGTACCAAACATCTTATATAATCCCAATATAGTAGGAGAAAGAGCAGGTGGGTGGTTGTCAAGATTGGGGTCCCTTTTTGTGTCCCTATTATAATACGGCACCTATTATTTAGGGTACCCAAAAAGGGACCATAATTCTTACAACCACCCATTTGATTAAGACTTCTACCATAGCCCGTATAATATATAATCCCAAACCCTAAACCCTAAAACCCAAAACCCTAAACCCTAAACCCTAAACCCTAAAACCCTATACCCTAAACCCCAAAACCCTAAACCTTAAACCCTCGGAGAAAGAGCAGGTGTGCTTTGGCCTTGGAGCTCCTGCGTCGGATGCCAACCTTGGGTCTGCAACCCGACCTCGTGAGCTCGGGCGCCCGGTTTTTGGTGCGTTTTTTTTTGGGAGGGGGGGGGGGGGGGGGGGGTGGTGTTATAGAAGTTGTTGTTTTTTTTTGGGGGGAGGAGGTGTTATACAGGGTCTCATTTCTTTTTTTGGTGGGGGGGGGGGTTATAATATAGGGTCTCAGGGTTTGGGGTTCAGGGTTTCAGGGTTTCAGGAGTTTAGGGTTTCAGGTGTTGGGGTTCAGGGTGTAGGGTGTAGGGTTTGTTTTTCTATGGCGGTTTAGAAAGATAGGATGTGGCGGCATAGGAGGAGAGGGTTAGGCTTGGAGCCATCCTGAGAACGAGGTTCAAAGGCCGTAATGTAGGGGCCTTAATAATTGGAATAGGGTTTGGTGGGTATATTATACTATATAGATATAATAATGAACCCGCAATACCCTTTTCTAACTGCCCTGCACACGAGAGTCTAATTACTAAGGCCCCAGATTGGGGTGCATTGGCTTGACGTTTAAGGGTTTAGCACGAAAGAGCTGAAGCTTCTGGCAAGAGCTCGTTTACTTAGTAGCTGAGTATGTAACTTTTTAGGGTTTACCGTGCTACAAGGGGTTCCTTTGCGGGATCTACGAGGGTACTGAAAGGGTTTAGGGGTAACCTTTCACCTTTTGGGGTTTATATATTCCTACCATCATTCGATAGGTACTCAGCGTGAAAGGTTATGCACAACGTGCTGTTCTTTGGTGATCTTTGGTATCGTGCACGTTGTTGTTTCCCCCCATGACCGATCCCATTGGGTTTAAATGTGCCGGCTTCGGGGCATTAGGGTCAAGGACAAGATTAAATCTGGGAGCACACCCCCGGCCAGCCCCACAATCCTCCCTCTGATCATTGAGCCATGATGCTCAATCCCCAACGCCGAAGCCCTGCAGAACCCCATACCCCGAAAGCAAGAAGAAGCTTCCGGAATCCTCGTCGGCTGTATAGGTTTCCAAACTTAAGGGTACTACGGTTGATGATATAAATCCTGCATTACCCATAATAAGGAAGATACCATAATTCCCATAGTTTAGGGTCCTTAAGGTAATGCAGGATTTATATCATCCACCGTATAGGGGTTCCCTTTAAGGGTACGATAGGGTTCCATCTAGGTGCCCTTTCAGGCTACAACACGGTTCTGGCGGCGTGCCAGAATGTTGGGGAGTGGCACTTGGCACTGCAACTCTTCCAGGACCCGGCCGGCTCCCGAAACCGAAGGCCTAAGCCCTCAAAGAAGGTTCGCGGTTTGGGCCTCAGCGTACTATAGGGGCCTTAATAATTAGAACAGGGTTTCGGGACCCATTATGCTATACGTATATTCATAAGGAGCCCCCAAAATACTGTTGGTACTTATTTATCTGAATGCCCTACAAGTCTGCAACAGAGAGCAGTAGACCCGCAAGCTCCCAAACCCCCGAACCTCAAAGCCACAAACGCCAGAAACCAACAACCTCGAACCCGAAATCCTCAAATCCCTAAACTCGAAACCCTAAACCCCAAACCTTATAGACCCCATAAGCCCTACCCAAACAAACCCCAGCAACCTCAAACCCCGGAATCCTCACATCCCCCTCAAGTGCGGCATTTCCTGGAGGAGATCGAGGCCTCTCCTCACCTGACGGCGGATGCAGCATGGCCGCGGAGAGCGGCTTTTTTAGGGGGAAGTTCCGAAAAGAAAGGGGACCCGAAAATCCCCCCCCGAAATAGTAGGATCCTTTTTGTAAGGACCCCCAAATAAGGTATTCCGAAGTCTCGGAAACCCCCACAGGGGTAGTTCTCTAAATCAGGGTCCCTTCTTGAGTCCTTTCTACAAGGGTGCCGACTTATTTGGGGGACCTCAGAAAGGACCCTAATTTGGAGAACTACCCATATGTGTCTTTGTGCACGGGGTTTTCTACAATGATATTAAATGGATTGTTGGGTTTCAATGAGTTGCATGTTGGCTGTACGGTGGCATGATTCCAAGGGTAAAAGGAGGAACCCTTAATAAGGACCCCATAGGTAATATACCCTTAATATAGCAATTATACCCATTATATAGCCCATTATAGGGTAGGGTCCCCATTAAGGGTCCCTCCTTTTCCCCTTTGATTGATGGTTTTCGGCGTCAAGGTCTACACCCGCAAGCCCCTAAGGCCTCAACCCGAAGTCCTAAACATCAAAACCTTGAACTTTCAACCCTGAACGGAGGACATGCAGAGGTATCGAAGTCTTGCAGCGAAATTCCAGGTGAGCGAAAGTGCACGCCCTGATCCGATTCAGATTTACACCATGCTAGCGGAAAGTCTTGCAAAATCGGGGATGGACGTCGCTCACGGGCTACCAGTGAAAATCAAACAGTACAACAGCCTCACAAGTGTCCAAAGCCAAAACATTTCAGAGCTTGAAGCTCGCGTCATTTGCATGCTGCCACATCAGACGCCCAAGTTCGTGGAAGTGCTGAAGTATCACTGGCAAAACTACAAGAATGCCGAATCGGCCGTGCCGATGAAGTTCTTCGGTCGATCTTCTACCTTCAGCTCTGAGGTGCCGCCGGAGGCGGCCGGCGTCTGGAAGGAGATCCTCAAGGCGGGCCCGGAGAAGAACGAGTGCTTCCTGTTGCTGCTCATCGGGGTGTTTGTCAAGAGCTTGAAGGATGCGCTGCGCATGAAAAAGAAGCCAAACCTCCGTTTCCAAGCTGGTCGCTTCCGAGTGAACGACCCTGTGATTGCGTACCAGCAGGCGTGTCTTTGGGTGCACTTCAAGCCAGCCATGCAGAAGGAGATGTCTGCCCCTGAGTTCGACCAGCTTGAGAAGAGCTTTCTCCGTGGAGGCCTTGATCGTGAGCTCGTGGATCGTTGGGTAGGCCTTTGGGATATTTTTTATTGTCCCTTATTTGGTCTGAATAGGACCCTACTGACAAGTGTTTTTTCAGAAGCTTTCAAGGGCCAACATAGAGATGCACTACCCCAAACTTTAAACCCTAAAGCCCTAAACTGCGTACCCTGAACACACGAGCTTTCCAATCTGGGCGTGGCCGGCTTCTGATCGAGGCCCCGGAGGGGTCAGGCCCCACGGCCCTAAGCCCTTGCTGTCAAGACTCATGACGTCATGGATGTAGGGTTTTAGGGCTTTAGGGTTTTTAAGGTTTTTAGGCTTTTAGGGTTTTAGGGCTTTTAGGGTTTATTGGTTTTAGGGATTTTATGGTTTTAGGGCTCAGGGTGTAAATTTAGGATTTTAGGGTTGTGGGGTTTAGGGTGGAGGCACCTTGCAGGATCCAAAGAAGTAGGCCCATCCCAGAGAACTTGTTAGCCCTGAGCCGTGAAGCAGAAGCCCACCCCCCACTTAAAGGATCATGGGACTTAGCAGCTAAGGTTATTATTGGGGTAACTATACATATAGCTGCTTATAGCCCCAAATAGGGTACTTATAACCTTACTTACTAAGTCCCATGATCCTCCAAGCACCCCACAAGATCCTGATCGAGACACCGCCACATGGTAGTTTCCGAACATTCGGGGCACCTGATCTTGGGATCCTTATAATAAGGATCTTACTATTTAGGGTACCATTATAGGGTGCCCTATTTTCGGAAATTCCTTCTGAGGTATTCACCTACAGCTCCGTGATCAGCGCTTGTGACGCAGTCTGGCCCCCAGCACTCGTGGAACAGGACTCGATTTGTTGGTTTTTGCTTGCAGAGTTCTGGAATACAGTTCTGTCATAGGTTTTGCAGCTTTTGGTTGTTCGGCTTGCGGTTCCTGGTTCAGAACATCACCAGTTGGTGGTTCGGGTTGTTCTTTGCCCGAGACCTATCACTTCAAGCCATGCTAGAACACGGCAGGCACATATTCAGCATCAAGGTCTGAGGTGTCACCCACCCTACATTCCCATTTGCTCTACGCCCGGAGCCGTTTTTGGTAGCACCGAGACACCTCCTCGGGCACCCAGCTTTCCCGTTCCGTCGCTCCTATTTCAAACTCTACCTGAAACCTGTAATCCGTAAAGCCCTCCAAAACCCTATGTATTCTAGTTATTAAGTCCAGGCCCCTGAATCCAAACCCCGCACACCCGACTCAGCCGTGGCAGGGCGAGCAGTGGGAGTGGGCGGTGAATTTGTTCCGCAGGATGGAAGCCCAGGCGACTTGTATTACTGGCACCTGCGACTCCTAGTAGGACTGGCACTACGAGTCATATCCAGACCATTCCAACATCCCTTAAGTTATAGTAGGATCCCTAATATGACTCAAGGTATATTCCTTTCTTAAGGGATATTGGAAGGTCTGGGTACTGTTAGTAGAACTACCTTAACCCCAAGTAACCTACCATTTTAAGGACTAATATAGAGAAGTCATATTAGGGAACCCTATAAAGGCAGGTTCCTTCGGGTAGCATTTTCAACTCTGAGACTGTTTTCGAAATTCGGCTTCCATGAATTCAGGTTTATGCCTTAACCCTGAAGAACCTACCTTTTTAGGGCTCCCTAATATGATTTCCTTATATAAGTCCTTAAAAAGGTAGGTTCTTCAGGGTTAAGGTGGGGTTTAGGGTTTGGAAACACGACTTTTGCCAGTTTAAAGTTTAGGGATGCCTCATTGTTCACGACCTTTTGCCGCCCCGCCTTGGTGCTCAGAAGTGCTATAACAAGGATCCTACTATTTCGGGTACTATGTTAGGGTCCTCTATTTTCGGAAACTTCCATGTGGGTTTGGGGGTGTTCGGGTTTAGGGTTTAGGCTTCTTCGGATCGGAAGATGGAAGTTCAATCCCCGAAATTCACGGCCGTGCGTCGAAGATGACGGCTAGGTAGTACGAGCTCTGGGCATAAATACAGGTGTTCGAAGCTTTGAAGCCGTATATGGCTCTGAAGAGGCTGACAGAGGCGTTGCGAATCTCGATCGGTTCAGCTTCTGTACCTTGTCGTGTCAGGGCATTGCGGCGAGCGACGTTATCTTCAACAGTGTCGCACACTGCCCAGATTTTTGGGGATGTGGGAAGCAGGTCAGGAGAAGCATTCATGAGAGCACTGTATTTGCAAGATTTGGGACGGAGGGCTAACTACAACAGATACTACAGCAGAAACTGCCCTTTGGATTTGTTGAGGAGATCCGATGCGTAATAGCAAAGGGGAACAGTTGGAAGGATGATGGCGACGGTTCGGGATAATGTCAGAGCCTCAAAGAGCAAGAGTGCATGCCTGGGTAGATTAGCAGACTCGTTTTGTAGGGTTGTCAAGGAGAAACTGCTGATTATGCCGATGCGACGGGTTCCTAGTTTGGTCTTTGTGGGCTAGAATTTTCAGGTGTTGGGGCTTGGACACCAGGGTTTGAGAAGTTCGGTTGGTCTCGCTAGCCTCAACACACCCACAAGCGAATCGAGAAATGTAGCCACTTGTTTTGTCAATGAAAGCCCAAATAACAACCTTGCAAGCCTGGGCTACAGTTACAAAGCCCCGAAACCAACTCCCAGAGCAGTTAAACCCTAAACCCTGACGACCCTATGCCCTAAACCTTAAGCCCCAAAGGGGTCATTGCACTTTAAAAAAAAACCTTAAGCCTCAGTTAACAATGTAACAATTTCAGCAGCCCCATTGAGACCCTGTACGCGTGAACCAACAACGCTTCTAGGGTCCCGGCCCTAAACCCTCAACCCCTGAAAACCTTTAAACCCTCAAAACCCCTGAGCTCTAAACTGTTAAACGCTGAAGCCCAAATCAAACCATTCAACTGTTTGGGCCGAAGCCACTTAGTGGTTCAGGGGTACAGCAGGAAAGAGTAGGGCAATAAGTCCCCAGTACGGGTTATATGAGGTATCCTAGTTATAACTTTATAACTCTACTTATAGCTACCCATGAACCTCCAAGCAAGGTGAGCGTGTGCAAGAAGTGTGGCCAGGAGGACATGGCCTTGGTCTCCACCTTCAGGTACTTTCGCGGGCTTTAACAGTTACCTGGTTCAGAGTACCATACTTGAACTTGGATATGTTTGTTGACCTGTTCCTTAAAGTAACCATCATAAAATGAAACTCTATACTTTGTTCTTCCCGTTTTACTTCAAATCTAGAAGTCCTGAAACTGTACTAGGGTTTAGGGTTTACTAGCTATGAGCATAAGGTTCCTGTAGGGTTGATATGAGGGTTTATTGTAGCATAAAAAGTCGTAGCGACCACAACAGGGTGTATTGCTATCACCAGTTCTCCGACCCCTACAGTAGCCCGCCACGAGAACGCGAAATCACCGTTGGCGTGCTTGTGACGAAGTGGTCTGGAAATTGTTCGATCCTTTTGTTTCTGAACATCAAAACCCAGTCCAACACCGAGTAAAGCCTAGCCGAGGACACGGACCTTCAGATTCGAGTTCACCAGGCTCTCATTTGGGTGGTTTGATGCACCCCCAAAAAACTTTACATAGTCCTAGAATACCCTGAACCCTCATTCCTAGACCCCCTAAAACCCCGTAAATCCTGAACCTCTTACTGTAACCCTAAACCTGAAGCTACTAAACCAAGTGGTGCTCCATGCCTTCGTCCTTTACCGAGTGCTGCTGTCAGTGACGAACCAGACTATGCCACTACCACCGCTGCTGATGACCGTCCTGACCCTCACCGCCCAAGCCTTCCTAGGAGGCCAAAAGGGGTTTTAGCCTATGGGGCTTTAGTAGGGATTAGGGTTCCCATAATAAGGTTCAGTTTCAGGAGTCCCTACACCCCGTTTGGCCTCCAATCAAAGCCGTGCTCCTCATCTTCGTGAACGTGCCACACCGGACAGCCCTGTTCGTCGCCCTCATCGTGAACGTGTGGAGGACGAAGAAAAGGATGATGAAGAATCCTTGGAAGGGCGGGATGGAGAAGGAACCCTAAACCCTAAACCCTGAACCGTGTGGTCTGCTTTGATGGGTGACACGGTGATCTTGACAAGACATGCGCTGCTTCTGGGCACTCTTAGACGACTAGATCCTCGACTACCGGTACCATGGGGGTCTTAAATAATAATTACCTATACTCGTATTTTTTTTTTGGGGGGGGGGTTCCTTAATATAGTTACAGTATAACGGTACTGTAGGGGCTTTAATAATTACCTATACTCTTATTTTGGGGGGTCCTTAATATAATTACAGTATAATGGCAAAACCTCGCATGATTAAGGCCCCTAGATTACCAGTACACTAGGAATTCCTTTTCACCCTGTGTATGTCCCAAGGCAGGAGCTACTTGGAGAAGCAGCACCAAAAATTCAAAAAAAAACGAACCTGCACCTTTTTCTCCAATGAGTGGGTATAAGGTCCCCATAATTATAAAGGTTCCTTCAAGGTTCTTAAAAGGTTCCTACAAGGTTTTTGTAAGCAGAAGGAGTGGGTGGACTACCTCCTCGCAGAGATGGATCGTCGAGGCGAAAATGCGTTTGGGCTTAAAGGGAACTCCAGAAAGTTGGAATATGGATTAATGGTAGGATCCCCTATAATTTACCTTAAACGGGTTACGATGATGATATTCCAACTTTCTGGCTTCTACTGTACTACAGGCTTGGGGAATCAGGGTTTGGGGCTTACGGCATCGAGGGCTTGGGGGTGTCGGGTATAGGGTTTTGGGGTGTAGGGCTTTGGGCTTAGGGCTTTGAGTATATGGGGTTCAGGGGTGTGGGCTTTAGGGTATCTGGGGGTGTATATAAGGGCTTCGGGCATAGAAGGTTTAGAGGTTAGGGGCTGAGGGTTTAGGGGCTAGGGCTTGGGGTTTATTCAACGCGGCGTAGGATTTCCATGGTCTCGGCCTCAACGATGGAGTTTTGTGCGTAGTTTCGAATCCCAAGCCCAGAGCCCTCTGACTTTCGAAAGTTGGCCAGGCCTCCAGAAGGGCTACATCACGCTTAGCCCGGCCCCCAATTCGACAGGGCTCGCACGAGAGAGTGCAGGGTTGTTCATAGCCCATCAACCAAACACTTGTCAGTCTTATCGTCTCAGAGATGTTGCCAGAGGTCTGTTGGTGAAAACTCTACGACATTGCCTGTTGTACTCATCTAGAACTGACGGGACACGATTCTGGTGGGTCTGTCAGATCTTGATTCCCAAACTCTCCGCGGCTCCTAAAGCCTAAACTAGAGGTCCGAAGCCTTCTCCGCTGTTTGGGATTTAGGGTTCAGGATTTGGGGCTTCGGCCCCTGAATTGTTGCTGTAGTTCGTCTTCTGGGGAGGGCGGGTCTCTGCACACCTACGGTTGTGGAAGATGAATTCTGACGCGCAAACCGCGAAACTGACACCCCATAAACTGCAAACTATTCAGCAAACCCATAAACCCTAAGCCCTAAACTCTAAACCCTAAATCCTAAACCCTAAGCCCTAAACTCTAAATCCTAAATCCTAAATCCTAAATCCTAAACCCTAAACCCTTACACCCCTAGCCTTGAAGTCAACGCCCAGAGAAACTGAATCCTAACACCCAAAGCCCCCAGACCTAAACTAAGCATTGATATTGGGGGAGCTAAGGAGCCAGGGATGATGATAATCCCTACTAGATAAGGAGCTAAAGAGCCAAGGGAACCCCCAAAATCACTGGCTAGTAAAGCCTAATGTATGAACCTGATGAAGAAGCCCTTGGCCTATAACCCCCCCAAAATACTAGAATTCATATGGGTGATTGTCAACATTATGGCCGCTTTTTGGGTACCCTAAATATTAGGTGCCCTATTATATTAAGGACCCAAAAAGGGACCCTAATTTTGACAACTACCCATGTAAGGAACCCTAATAAAGGCTCAAGGCCCCCAGACTCCTGGTTTCTTGTTGCACGTGGTCGGCGGGCGAATAGCGGCCGCCACTCAAGTCTACTGCAGCCGTTTAGGGTTTAGGGTTTTTAGGGTTTAAGGTTTTTAGGATTTAGGATTTAGGGTTTTTAGGGTTTAGGGCTTTAAGGCTTTTAGGGTTCAGAGTTTAGGGCTTAGAGCTTTTAGGGTTTAGGGTTTAGGGTTGCAGCTCCAATCCTCAAGAGCCAAAACCCCAAAACGCTGAAGCCCTATATACACAATCGAAGCCCCAGAACTCCCCTGCCCCCACCATCAGGATCACCAAGCCCCCCCCCTTGCAAACAAAAAGCCTGTGATTTGGGTTTAGGGTTTGGGGCTTGGTAGAACCCTGATGATGATAATCCCTACTCAAGTCTACTGCAGCCGTTTAGGGTTTTTAGGGTTTTTAGGGTTTAAGGTTTTTAGGATTTAGGGTTTAGGGTTTTTCGACTCTGTTTTGCAGACTCACAAAGGCCCTCGAAAACACCGAGGTGCTTCAATCGGCAGGCTCACCCAGGGCAAATCCGCCAGAGCCGCGGAGGCTGAGAAGTCTCCAGATGTCGAGGAGCAGGAGGTACCGGAGGCAGCGGCGTAGTTTGGTTCCCTGGGCTTTGGAGTACCATACTTTGATACTTTTTTGGTACCTGTTACTTCAAGGGAACCAAATATGAAAAAAAAGTCTATACTTTTGTCCCTGGTTACTTCAAAGCCCAGTTCCTTGTGGGTCTAGGGCTTAAGATTCAAAGAGAAACCCTACATCCATGGTCGAGGGGTCAGGGGTTTCTAGCTTCACGGATTGATGGGTGCAGGGTTCAGGGTCATGTTTAGGATATAGGGCTTAGGCTTTCGGGCTTTGGGCCTAGAATGTCGGAGTTTTTGTGAGGATGTTGGATCTCGGCCTCCACGAACCAGGCTCTTGCTTGAAGAGCTGGCTCGATAGGTTCCTGAGGAGTACCCTTAAAGGGCTCCAGATGGGATCTATGGGGGTTTAGGTTTTAGTCAGGTCGTCGTCAGAGGGCGGTGAGGTCGGCGGAGGGCTTCATAAGGTTGTCCCCAATAATTCGGTCCCTACCTATAGTCTCCATTGTAGCTCCTTTTTTTGGTTAACCAAAATCTCTATTATAGGATCCTAACCATAAAATTGGTCAACCAAAAAAAGGAACTACAATGGAGACTATAGGTAGGTCTGGCAGAATCGTGACTGCCGCTCTGCGTTAAGGGGGGTGGGCTCCAGGGTTCCAGGAGGGTTGATGATATAAATCCTGCATTACCCAGAATAAGGAATATACCATAATTCCTATAGTTTAGGGTCCTTAAGGTAATGCAGGATTTATATCATCAACCGGAGTAGCCTGCAAGGGTGCCGTAACAACTGGACTAGGGCTCTCCCAGTTGCATACTGCAGGATATTTATGGTGCACATGGGCTTCCTGTCAAATCTCGGAACATGGTTCAGAATGAGATGCCATAGTTCTCTAAAAAGTGGGCTCACTTCTTGCCACTTCCCCCTCAAACCTGCACATCTTTAGGGTTTAGCTTAGGATTGAGGCGATAGGCGAGGAGTAAGTTCTGCTGTGTCTGGACTGGAAGGAGAAGCCCACATCGTCTGTCGACGATGTGAAGGCAGGACTGCACACAGTCGTTAAACCTCGACCTCAGCTTCCGAGCCCTTAACCCTCTACCCAAACTAGCAAACCCTAAAGACCATAATTAGCCTTTCAGCCACAAAGATCCGAAACCCTAAAGCCCTACCTGGACCACAAGAAACCCCTCCGTTTTAGGGCTCCGAAGTATGACTTCCTTACAAACGGTTGATGATACAAACCCGGCATTACCCATAATAAGGAATATATCATAATTCCCATGGTTTGGGGCCCTTAACGTAATGCAGGATATTTATCATCAACCGGAGTAGACAGTAAGGGTGCCGTAACAACCGGACTAGGGCAGTGACTAGGGCTCTCCCAGTTGCATACTGTAGGATATTTATGGTGCACATGGGCTTCCTGTCAAACCTCGGAACATGAATTGCAGAATGAGATGCCATAGTTCTCTAAAAAGTGGCCTCACTTCTCGCCACTTCCCCTAAAACCTGCACATCTTTAGGGTTTAGCTTAGGATTGAGGCGATAGGCGAGGAGTAAGTTCTGCTGTGTCTGGACTGGAAGGAGAAGCCCACATCGTCTGTCGACGATGTGAAGGCAGGACTGCACACAGTCGTTAAACCTTGACCACAGCCTCCACGCCCTAAACCCTCTACCCAAACCAACAAACCCTAAAGACCATGATTAGCCTTTCAGCCACAAAGACCCGAAAACCTAAAGCCCTGCCTGGACCATGAGAAACCCCTCCGTTTTAGGGCTCCTTAGTATGACTTCCTTACATACGGCTGATGATAAGAATCCTGCATTACCTTCCGGACCCTAAACTATGGGAGTTATGGCATGTTCCTTATTATGGGTCATGCAGGATTTATGTCATCAACCGTACGTCCTCAAAAGGCAGGCTATTTGGGGATTAAGGTAGGGCCTTAAACGAAGAGCCTGAAGCCTTAGAGCTCAAGAGGTCTTCAATAAGAAGCCCCAGAGCCCGATTAGGGATTTGGATTTCGGATTTAGGGTTTAGGGTTTAGGGTTGAGGGTTTCGGGATTAGGGCTTAGGGGATTAGGGTTTAGGGGTTAGGGTTTAGGGTTTAGGATTCTATGATTAAAAAGGCCGAAAGCCGCATCCAGAGAGCCAGTTAGGGCTACTTAAGGTTTGGGATTTCGGGCTCAAGTCTTAGGGCTTTCAGGTTAGGGCTTTAGGGTTTAGAGTTTAAGAGAGGGTATAAAGTCAGGGAATGTCTTACACTCATAGTAAGAATCCTATCATATTTTAAGTGCTATGCCTGGGTGAAAAGGTTGGAGCAAAGCGCTCTCGGTATAAGTCCTCCAAGCGCTCGAAGCAAAAACGGCCTAAACACCACAGCAACTTTTGGCTTGTACCTATAGTCCCAGAGACTCCAATTACCCTCAATTACGGAATATTCCTTAAAACACATTCGGGATCCTACTATAGCTTGAGGTTTGTTCCTGCATCGAGGGATATTGGAGTCTCTGTGATCTCCATTGTAGTTCCTTTTTGGGGTTACCTTATAGGATCCTGAAAAATGCAAGTGGGTTAATAGCCAATAGGGTGGTTGTCAAAATTAGGCCTTATTATAGTACGGCACGTCATATTTAAGGTACCCAAAAACTTAGTAGCTGAGTGGATACACTATACACTTTTGGGGATAATATTACCCACTATTAAAACTAAAAGTGTAAACTTTTTGGGACTTATGAACTCATAAACTAAGAAAAGGGACCTTAATTTTGACAACTACCCAATAGAACGTCAAGGGAGACTGGTGGTAGGGTTCAGGGCCTGGGCGGGCTTCAGGTTCCGAGATCTTTCAGCCACAATCTTGGTTTAGGGTTTAAAGGTTTAGGGTTTACGGTTTAGGGGTGTACCTAAACCCCCCAAAGTGGGTAAAATAATGGCCCAATACCTATAAAAGGCCATTATTCTACATACTTTGGGGGTCCAGGTAGGGGCTTAATTAGCCTTCAGGGTTTAATTAGGCGTTTTAGGGTTGGGGAGATCTGGCTGCCCCCGAATCTCCCCAGCAAATCCTGGGCTTTTTGAGGCGCCTCTCCCCCGCATGCAAGCATGAAGGGGACGTTTCCTTCATGGTTATGCAGTTATACAGGTACTGATCCAAGGGTAGGGTAGTTGCGGTTAAGGTAGGCAATTCTTGTAATCATCAAAAATCACAATAACAATAACAACAATAGTATCAACAATAGTAATGCGGCTTCCTTTAAGGCATACTATATGGGTGGTTGTCCAAATTACGGTCTCTTTGGGGGTTTCCATAGGGTGCCATATTTAGAGTAGATATTTAGAGTAGAATGATAGAGCGTCTCCCAAAGGGAGACCAGAAACACTAAATCCTTGAATCTTTTGCCCAAACTTTCCCAGGTCTTCATGAGCAAGCTGGAAGGGGCATCCCACCTCTTCGCCGAAGCCTTGCTCCAAGCTTCTTCAGCGGAGGTGCGCATTGAAGAACTCAAGACCACACTGGTTCGCAGATAAACGCAAGCATATAAAGTCAGATAAATACAAGTATACGTGTACGTCTGCATATATACACATACATAATTACATGTGTGTACATATACATATAGGGAATATACGGCTTTACAGGAAAGTAAACCTCAACGACGGAATTCCGAACTGCGCGATCCCAAGGCGCTTCGAGACGGCGCCTTCGCCCCCTGGGTGCGGGAAGGAAGGCCAGGTGCAGGGATTGGGTTTGGGAACCCTACTTGGAGGATCATGGGACTTAGTAAGTATGCTTATAAGTACCTTAATTCGGGTTATAAGCAGTTTTAAGTATAGTTACCCTAATAGTAACCTTAGCTACTAAGTCCCATGATCCTTTAGGTAAAGCCTAAACCTGAGCCCTAAACAGGGCTGAGGATAGTTTGCGTGGAAAGTTTCTATGACCGCATGGTTCCCTCGTTGCTTGCCGGCGGTTACACCATGTTTACTGGATGAGCCAAAAACGACGGGGAACTTGACCATTGCTGTACCCGAGACCCGTGTACTTCAGCAGGGCCAGGCCATACGCAGGCTCTACACATGAGTGCGAGAAGCCCTACACTCAAACCCTGATTCATCAACTCCTAAACGGACACTAAAAATGTGTATGGACGGAGCGCTTGAGGCTGCTGGATCTGCACGGCATGAGCACGGAGGTGCGTGGCTCAGATCCGCTGTTCGTTCAGACTTTGGGACGTTTCGCTCTTATTTCCTAGGCTTCACAGGTTTTGGGGTCAGAGGGGAAGCTGCTGAGAAGATCTTGGCCGGGGAACGGCCCTGAAACTCTCACTGCACTGTGAGACGATTGCCCCAGAGACTCCAATATCCCTTAATTAAGGAATATACCTTAAATCATAGTAGGATCCCTCATATGATTTAAGGAATATTCCTTAATTAAGGGATATTGGAGTCTCTGGGGCAGCCAGGTGGCCAAGGTGGCTGTCTATATCGCCTTGCGGGTGCGCCAGACCCGCTTGTTCGGAGCAGGAGACGCCAAAGCCCCAATCCTAAACCCTGAACTCTGATGCGCTTCCTCATCTTCTGCAACTCTCTCGTCTCAGCAATGCGCCCGAAGCTTCGCTTGACCTCGCGCAGCAATCCTAAACCCAGGCGCCTAAGCCCAACTCCGGCCCGCAACTCTGAGTCTACGCATCTTCAGCCTAGGCCACAGCCCCTGTAAGCCGAAGCCACCAGACCCTGAACCCCATAAGCCCTAGGCCCTACACCCCAAGCCCAAATATCTGGGTTTAGGGTTTAGGGTTTAGGGGCAACTTGGAGTCAAGCCGCCAGGGCATTCCGGAGCTACCTGAAGACGATTTGGCCTTCACGTGGCGGTCCTGCCAGGAGTTGCACGTATCCATGTGTCTTTGTTGACGCCCTGCAAGGTTGTTTGGAGATTGGTGATTGTTTAGGGTGTATAGTTCTACCGTTTCAGGTTTTGTGTTAAATGGCTGAGGGTTTTAGGGTGCAGGGCTGGTGTCACTAATGATTTCAGGGTCGCCTGGATGTCGAAGATCAAGGCCATCATGACCATGGTCATGTGGCATCATCCTCCTCCACCCAACGTAAGTATCGGTTCTGAAAAAGACTTCTGAACTGTGTAAAGTAAAGCTCATTGTTCAATGTCCGGCTGCCATTGCCGAGTTGGCTACTCGTTCATGTTTGGATTCTCGAGGGCTTGGCGGTCACTGCGACTTACAAATAATCCCTGAGGAGCCAATGCAGCCCTAAACCCTACACCCTATACCCTATACCCTGTAGACCCTATACCCTGTAGACCCTAAACCCTAAACCCTAAACCCTAGAACGCGGCATCAACCCCGCAGCAGCATTCATAGACCCTTGACCCGAGGCCGATCCGTTCAACCGTAAACCCGAAATCAATCTAAACCCTTAGCCCTCAAGCCCTGCACCTTAGACGCAAAGCTTTCAAAGCCCAACCTAGTAGTAGAGTAGGTAACCTTTAACCTTTTTTCAGTTTTTGGGTAGTATAGTAGTATAGTCCAAAAAGGGTTAACCTTTGGTTCCCAATGATACCCGACAAGTAGCCCAAAAAAGTCCCTATGCCGGAATCCCTAAACCCGGAGCCGCCAGGGGCCTGAAAATCATCGTCGGGAAGGGCCTTCACAGCGAAAACGGTGAGCCTGGGCCTCGGCGTAAGGGTCCACGACTTTTTGCGGTTGAGGGCTCCACAAAGAGCAGGAAAATAGAAATAGTAATGACATTCATGGGAACAATCGTAGGAAGATTCGTAATGTTCGTCGTATTCAAGGATTACTCTAAGGGGGTTTATACAGGCTCGGGGAACTGAAAGGGCTCTTTTTGAACACAAAGGACATGTTACCTCGGGTCAGGGTAGGTGCAACTAGTGCTTGGTCTCCATGTGGTTCACTTCATAGGGATCCTTAGGGGTGTAGGGGGAGGGGGGGTAGGGGGCCTTAAGGCCCATAATAAGGGCTAATAAGGCCTATTTAAGGAAATATAGTCCTCTACACCCCTAAGGATCCCTATGATCACTTCAAAACTGCAATTTCATCTGAGACTCTTCTACTTGCAGGATCATGGGTAGTAATAACTGGGCTTATGCGTCCCCTTATACGGGTTAGTTCTAGCTAGAGCTATCCTACATAGCTAACCATGAACCTCCAAGTACCCTTGATCTCGATGATTGCATCCCCAGGCCTAAACCTTTCAAGCAGACGTGTAGCCCCGCAACCTTGCTAAACCCTACACCCTGTACCTTAGAACCTTCCCCCATGCCGTAATGGAGCTTCAACCCTCCGCCCGAAAAACCTGAACCCTAAATCCCAAAACACCTAAACGCCTAAACCCAAGCCATGTGGTGACCACTACACTTTTAAAAATATTAAATCCCTGGGACCTAAGAAGCCTCCATGTTTGCGGCAACAGCAGGGTGGTGCTGGACCCCGCGGTCAGGGGTCTCCTAGAGCAGGCTCCCTCCATACTTCCGACCTGCAGGGAGTTCCTTTTAACGGCTCCTTTCAGGGGTTCCTTCAAAGGGTTCGATTCCTTCGAGGGGTTCCTTTAAAGGGTTCCTTTGAGGGTGATTGTAAGGTGTACTATGGGGTACAAGAGAGTCCACTCTAATCTTTTTTGGGGTTTTATATATCAGAGGGTTCTTTTAAGGCTTCGTTCAAGGGTCGCTTGAGGGTTCCTTTGAGGGGTTCCTCTATGGGAAGCGAAAATCCCTGTATAGAACCCCTATCCAGGAGCACTCAAAGGAACCTCCACTTGAAGGCCTGAGTATATGCTACGCTATGTGGGCGGTTGTCAAAATTGTGGTCCCTTTTAGGGTACCCTACGGAATAGGTGCCGCATTATAATAGGAACCCCAAAAGGTACCATAATTTTGACAACTACGCATGGAGCCTACGACCCATGAAGCCAAAGCACCCTAAACCCTAAAACCGTGAACCCTAAGACCCTAAACGCGTAATCCTGAACCCAACCAACAGCCCCCAACTACCCCTTATTGTAGCTTCAACCCTAAACCCTAAACCGTTATTGCAGCTTCACTATCAAAGACCAAGAGGCTTCTATTAAAGGGTGCTTTTTGGGTACGGCCCCCACTCAGTAATAGTTGAATAATCTTGATAGTCTAGATATATTAGGGCCTTAATAGTAGCCTTATTATAGACTCTTACTGTATGGGGGCCGTACCTAAGGTGCTTTGAGGAGGATCATGGGACTTAGCAAGTAAGGTTGTAAGTACCTTAATTGGAGTTATAACTAGTTATAAGTATAGTTACCCAAATAATAACCTTATAGTTACTAAGTCCCATGATCCCTTAAGTAGGGTTTGGGGGCATTCATAGTCTAGATATATTAGGGCCTTAATAGTAGCCCTTATTATAGACTCTTACTGTATGGGAGCCGTACCTAAGGTACTTTGAGGGGGGTGGGAAACCGGAGCTCTGAGTCTCTGAACACTACCTATAGTCTCCATTGTAGTTCCTTTTTTTGGCTTTAGGGTTAGGGCTTTACTATAGGAATAGGATCCTAACCATCAAACTGGTTAACCAAAAATAGGAGCAATGGAGACTCTAGGTAAAGCCTCGCTGGGAGGTGTTCCGGCTGAACGTGACTTCCACCAAGAAAGGCTGTTATCGCATCGTTCCCGAGGCAGGGGAACTTTACGATGTTGTTTCGGTTTAGGGTCAGCGTTTAGGGTTTCGGGTTTAGGAGGGTTTAGGGTCGGGGTTCAGGGTTTAGAACTTGGGGTTGGAGAGACGTCGGGAGTGAGAGCGGCGGGGCTGGTGTCCTTTAGGAGGCTTCGCTCTAGCTTGTAGCTAGAAGGACCTGTCACAAACCCTCACCAAGCTACCTTGGGGCCAGAATCCCGCTTCTTTTCAATCTCCGGCTTGAGGCGTAATATAGGGATCGGAGCCATTAGTAGTACGATCCTCTGGAGTCATTATAGTCCTTATGTAACTCTCGTACAACATACCCCAAAACCCTATTCTAATTATCGTAGTTATTGTTGCTATTGTCGTTGTTTTTATTATTACTATGATCAGCATTTTTACTATTACTTTTAGTATTTTTTCTAATATGTTTATTTGTTGTTCTTGCTATTATTATGAAAGGCGCCTGTAGCAACCTTTGAGTCTCGGTGTTAAAGGGTCGCATGAGCGCTTCCTGCCATCCGAGCCTCTACTCTTCTTTGGGCGGAAGGGTAACCGCTCTGTAGATCCTGGGGGCTCAGAGGTTTACGGTTGAGGGTTTTCTTTGCTGTAGTGGCCCGCAGCCTAGTGACTTGTAGTGCGAGTTGATACTGCCAAGGGCTGAATGCTCGCGACTGTTTTGTCGAAGCACTGCCCTCGGTCATCCCCGGGACATCTTCATCGTGCACTTCGCTTTCCCTAAGCTGCATAAGCCCTCTTGAATCCCACACCCTAAACACCTGAACTCCAATTCTCAGTCAGTCTCCGGAAGCCTGCACATTTCCTTTGTTTAGGATTTAGGGGTTTAGGGTTTGGACAGCTTGGGTTCCATCTTGTTCTGTGGCTCCACTCGTTAGATTTTATAATTCCCAAAACCCCAAGCAAAAACCCTACTACTACTACTACTACTACTACTACTACTACTACTACTACTACTACTACTGCTACTGCTACTGCTACTGCTACTGCTACTGCTACTACTACTACTACTACTACTACTACTACTACTACTACTACTACTACTACTACTACTACTACTACTACTACTACTACTACTAAAGCCAGAAAGTTTTGGAGTTTCGGTGCTCCTGGTTTCGGGGCTTGGGTCTCTCGTCGCTCATGGCTTTGGCCTTAGAGGCTTCTGCTCTTCGAGCCTTGGCATCTATCATCTGACTCTAAGATTATAAGCTCTACCTTAACCCTGAATAACCTACCTTTTTAGGGTTCCTGATTATGGTTTCTTTATATATGTCCCTAAAAAGGTAGGTTATTTGGGGTTAAGGTAAATCCCAAACTCAAAGCCCTAACTCTGAGCCCCCAAGCCCGAAAGCCTTGTCCAGGATTTGTGGAACATTCGCTTACAGGCCCGATTGCGCAGACGGGGGAGAACAGGGTCGATTGAGGTTTTCCCAAGACCCCTTGAGTGATAGCATGTCCAGTCGAAAGCTCCAGGGCCCTTTGGAACTTGCACTATTCTACTCTCCTCTGTACTTTCTTGGCCTATGTCGAAAAAAACTGAAGTCCCTATGAACTGTGGTATATGTAGTGGGTTCCCCTTTTAAGCTTAAGCAGGGCCCTAAACCCTTTAAAGCAGCCCTGACTTATATTACCCTCCTACCCCTCTCGTTTTGGGATCCGCGTCCTTGCTACAAGGAAGCCAACATCGCTCAAGAAGCCATACATCCCCAAAGCCACGCTGGGTATGGATTTAGGTTTTCGGGTTTAGGGGATAGAGTTGATGGGTTTAGGGATTTGGGATTTAGGGTGTAGGGTTTAGGATGTATGAAGCCCACAGCCCGAAGCACGAAAAGGGCATGCAAGGTATTCCAAGGACACGTGCCCCTTAGCCAGAATCTGACGCATCCATGCCTTGCGGCTGGGGCTTGAACCCTTATCCAGAAGACTGTGTGTTTCGTGGTCATGCCATCCTCACAAGCAGTCGATGGAGCTCCGTTGCTCTACATCCTGGACCAAAATCGGAGACGCCAAAACGGGTTCCGTTTAACTTGAAAGGTACTGTGAGTGCTTCTTTATGGCCTCGGTAAGGGTACTCACCACAGGGTTAACCCTATATAGTTCCCTTATGACGGGTTCTTGATTGTAGAAACCCTGGTGCTACATTGAAAGGGAACCCTTCAGGGGTACTAGAAGGGCTTCAGGTGTAGATCTTGGCTTCGGGAACCCAGAGACTCAAAGATCCCTTCATTAAGGAATAGACCTTAAACTATATATTCGGATCCCTAATATGACGTGAGGAATATAATTAAGGATATTGGGGTCTCAGGGAACCCTAAACCCTAAACCCTAAACCTTGTCTTCCGAAGGGCAGCTGGCCTCCGACTTGGCTCACTGAGGGGAAGGAGCCCCCTGAGGCGAGAACCCGGCGGGGATAGGAAGTTTAGGTTTAGGCCACGGTTTAGGGTTTAGAGGTTTAGGGGTCTAGAGGTTTAGAGTTTAGGGGGTTTAGGGTTTAGGATTCACGGCTTAGGGTTGAGGTTGTAAACTTTTCTGTTTTGGGGGTTAAAATGTACTGTGGAAACACAGGCCCTGAAAGAAGCAGGCACTGGAGGGGCTTTCGGAGTTGGTCATTCCTGCAACATCCCAAAACCCTAAGCACGCAACACCTGCTTGTTTAGAAGGCCCCAAATGCTAAGACCCTTAACTTAGCAAAAACTGAGACCTCAGTGGCTCTTTCTATGGATCCCCACAATTTCATACAGGATGCCAACTTTTGAATCTTAGGGCTTGAGCAGAATATACTACGGGGACACGGCATCCCAGCCCTCATAGAGCCCCAGCCCACCACAGCAAAGCGCACAAAGAACGACAGTCACAGAAATCCGAATCAGCCTGTCAACCCCGGCGAACTTTGAAGACGCAGCCCTTATCGAACATCGAGAAAGAACTACCTGTAGCCGAAAAGACCTACCTTTTTGAGGAACTATATATAGAAGCCATAATAAGGAACCCTAAAACGGTAGGTCTTTTCGGCTAATTACGGGTAAGAGTGGAAGAAACAAGATCCCAGTCCTCTAAGCCGCCTTGTGAAATCTTCACAGAATCCTCAATGGGCCCTGTAGAACCTGTTTAACGTAGGGGCCTTACCTATACTATTTTGGGGGTTCCTTGTTATATCTCCCAACGCCTCCATGTACCCATATTGTAGGTTAGGCCTTAAAGTAGCCATATAGGGACCCCTTTCAGGCCTAAGTACCTACTATATGGGTACATGGAGCCTTGGGGTCTTATTGTCCTTTTAGTATAATGGGCCACAAAACCCTTTGCTAATTATTAAGGCCCCTGTCTTAACATGCTAGACAGCCTCGTAACACCCTATGGAGGCAACCGTTCAAGAACCTTTGCGGAACTCGGATTTGAGCCCCTCATAGCAAAGACCCTGTTGCGGGCCTCAAAGGAACCCTGAAAGGAACCCTTCCCTTCAGAGAGGCCTTCAAGGAACTTTTAAAAGAAATCCTTAAGAGAGGCCTCAAAAGCCACTGCGGAATCCTCAAGAGGGGCCTTAGAGGACCCAGAGAATGAACCCCAGGAGCCCGTTAAGGGAGACCTTGAAAACATTTTCAAGAGAGGCTTGGCTCAACCGCAGGGACCTACGGCCGCGCAAGTTCGTTGGCCGCAGGTTCAGAAGGCTTTTGGGGTATAGGGGTTTGGGGTTTAGGGGTGTAGGGGTTTCGGGTTTCGGGGTATAGGGGTTTAGGCTTTAGGAGTTCGGGTTTGGGGTTCAGAAGACTGCGTCAAAGGTCAAAAGCGCTCCACAGGTGTGGTTCGAGAGGTTCGTTTAGGGGTTCCTTTCAGGGTTCCCTTAAGGGTTCCAGGATTTTCGAGTTTTGGGTGGTATAAGGTAATTTTTCGGAGTTCTATGAGGGCTCTACAAAGGGTACGATGTGATCAACACTTCTTCAGGTCCCAAAAGTGCTTATTCCGGATCTAGGGGCTTTAGGCCTAGGGTTCAGGGTGTTAGGGCTCTTTCTTGGGCTTGTGTAATTTTGCTGCAAGGGTACAAGGACACTATCCGAAGGTTTGGATGAAGGCAGTTTGGGGTGTCAGCGGGGTACTTAGAAATATTTTTTAACTTTTAAGATTATTACAATCCCTAAGAAACAGCTGAAATTACAATTTTTGCTAGGGTTCTAAGTTCAGTATAGTCAAGGTTTTGGGGGTCGATGGCTTTTACTGGTTTGGGTGTCAGTAGGATGGTTCATGGGAGTTAGGATTAGGGGGACCCTTGGGGATATATGCGCATATAGACCCTCTCAATAAGGCCCCTTTTAAGAGAGCCAGAAGTAGGGTTCAGAAGGGGTACCCTTTAAGGGGTCCCCCAAATAATACTACCCAGTTCAAACTTCGGCATGACATGCCATCGACCCACACCGGCCCGCACCAGCCCAGAGATCCCAATATCCCTTAATTAAGGAATATACCTTAAACCATAATAGTAAGGCCCCTATAATTTAAGGTATATTCCTTAATGAAGGGATATAACCTAAACCATAATAATATTAAGGCCCCTACACTTTCAGGTATATTCCTTCATTAAGGGATGTTGGGATCTCTGGGAGCCCAAACCCTCAACAACCTTCAGCGCAGTATCCGGTCTGCAGGACAAAATCCGACAGCTGCACTGCACAGTCGTGGGTTGACGCTTTAGTTGGGTTTAGGGTCTAGGGTTGACGGTTTAGGGTGTAGGGTTTAGGGTGTAGGGTCCAGGGTTGAGGGTTTAGGGTTTAGGGTCTGGGGTTGACGGTTTAGGGTTTAGGAGTCACTGCGTATCACAGACATGTCAGTGAATCAGTTAACCCGAGTCGGGCCACATGATACAACCTGCGACCAGCAGTGGACGACCTGCAATTGTCTTCCTCCGCATAGTCGGATACTTGCTAGAAAGGCAACTAAATGAGGGACTCTGTTTCTCCCATCCTCTTTGACTTCAACCGTTGATTGATCATCAACCAGGGCGGCTTCCATATCCAAAGCTCCAAGCTAGAACAATCTGAAGCACTAGATCTTTTTCTCGACTGAAAGCTTCCGCTCCGAGTCCCCCAATATTCGGGGGCTCTTGCCAGGGAGTTCGCTTAAGATAGCAACAAAAACGTGAGTATGTCCCACTTACTCAATGTATCCAGTTCCTTAGCCAGCAAACCCTCTACATCCCGGGCCGACAACTTGGACCCCAATCCCACACTCAAAATAGCTCTCCGGGCCAATGGGAGAACCTTTAAACCTTCGGGGTTTCTCGGTTCACTATTGGCAAGAGCAAGGCTGACTTGGGAGAGTGTCGAGCCCCTAGAACCTAAAAGCTGTATCATCTTAGTAGCTGAGTGGATAAACTTTACGCTTTCTGGTAGAATACGACCCACTATAAAGCCGAAAGTGTACACTTCTTGGGGCTTGTGAACTCAGCAACCTTGTGCAACGTTCACAAGTTTTGAAGGTATGATCTATGGGTGCAGTCCTCTCATGCCACTAAATTAATGATCTAAACCCTAAACCCTAAACCCTAAACCCAAATCCCCAACCGTGCTCCCCAAAGGCATCCATCACCCAAATGGGCAGCCAAGACGCCAACATCCTTGAATTAAGGAATATACCCTAAATCATGTTCAGGGTCTTACCATAATTTAAGGCAGATTCATTATTTCCCTTATAGAACCCTTCTAGGACCCCTTCGAGGAACCCTTTAAAGGGATTTTTCTGAATTCAAGGATGTTGGAGTCTCTGGGCATTTGAGGCTCCTCTGGACGGACGAGAGAAAGCAGCGCCGGCGCCGGGGAAAGCTCAAAGCGCTCGCGACTGCGAAAGCTACGAAAAAGAAGCACAAGGATTTAGAGTTTCGGGTTTTTAGGGTTCAGGCTTTCGGGATTTTAGGGCATAGGGTGTCGGGTGTTTAGGGTTTAGGGTTTTAGAGTTTAGGGTTTAGGAAACATGCATGGCAACCACGGCTCAGGCTTTGGACACCAAGATTTTTCAGTTGCTTTGTAGGGTTGAAGGAGGCTTATGGTCTTAGTAGCTGAGTGGATACACTTTACACGTTTTGGGATAATACCACCCACGATAAAACCGAAAGTGTACACGTTTTGGGGCTTGTGAACTCAGCAACTAAGTTCTACTATAGTATTCATAATAAGGAGCAACCGAAATCGTATAGGTGATTATTAAGGCCCTAATACAACCCTAAACCCTAAACCCTAAACCCTAAACCCTAAACCCTAAACCCTACTAAGTGATAGAAGCAATGGGAGTCCAGGTCTTTCGAGATCCCAGAGAGCCCAAGCAGGGCCTGCCTGGGCATGTGTTGGATGCTGCAAGACACGGGCTCCTTTAAAGGGGTCTATAAGGGATCTATAAT